CATTTAATTAACAAAATCTCATAAATCGATACTTCTGGAAAAATTTGTTTATTCGATTCAATACTTATTGAAGGAAGATTGAAGGGAAGCCATTGATTACGATAGGCGAGAAAAATTATGACTTATCGAGCGAATTACATTTTATAAAATTAGAAGTAAACAGATTTTTTTAAAGCTGAGAATTTTCAGATCCTTGGAACCTTGAATATACTATGTATATGCTTTGACTCAGTATGCAAAATTCTCGATTCGCCCAACTTTGGAATGATTTCGATTCAAAGATGATAAAAAAAATAAAGCTTCATGCAGCGTTTCAACATTGTTCTCTTGTTCTGCACTAAATGATGAAATTCTTTTGCAAATATTATAAAATTATTTTAAGCAAATTCGATCAGCAACATCTGGCCTTATCTTAAGACATCATTGAAGCAATACAATTTTAAAATTCGGCACCCATTTACAAATTTGAAGACAAAGTTGTTCCCGAAAAACTGAACGTTTTGTCTCAACTACTAAATTCGAAAATTAAGCTGTTGAACTTATTTTGCAAATATTTATAAATTATTTTAAGTATATTCGATAAACATTTCATTTGAATTGGTTTCACAAAAAATTTCGCCTAATCTTAGAACATCAACAAAGCCTTAAAATTTGAAAATTCAGTACCCGTTTTAAATATTTGAAGACAAAGTTGTTCCTGAGAAACTCAACGTTTTATCTGAACTATTAAATCCGAAAATATGCATGAAATTGTTGACCGTTTTCGGGGAAGAGGTTGCAGAGGAACAAGGCTATGCTCTAAGAGGGATATCTCCCATTATGCGTCTTTATTTTAAAAGGTTTTCAAGGTTCTTTAAAAGAAATTGAAAATCCAAAAAGTCTGTAGATCGCTTTAAAATCGAATAATTTAATAACTTTTCTTCAAATTTATACATCTTTTGTAAATCATCAGATTTGATTCTGAAGAGAGAGAATGAAGTTATGTCTGATTCGTCTTCATTAAATTAATGTAGACAGTCTTCTAGTAGTCAGGCACTCGTAGTATAGAGGGTCCAATTTTTCTGAGCCGCACTGTACATTGTACGTGTGTGTGTGTGTGTGCTCGGAGATATGATCGCCCGACGCCCCCTGTCACTTGAATTATGCATATGAAGCCCGCCCACGTAATCTGCGCGCCTTTTCTTGCGGCAATTGACGGCTTGCCTGTACAAGCCCAGTCAAGGCGATGGAGCTTTGCGATAACGATTGCAGGAAGTGGATGCCAAATGGTGCTCTAATTTTCATGCCGGAACCGTGTTGCCAGCGACCATACCCTTTCCATCAGTGGCAGCAGCAACAACAGTTGGTAGCAGCGTTGCGTCAATTGGCCAAACACTTAACATATTGACTGATTAGAGCACGATACGAGTATGGGAGCTCAAGTCTCTGTCGCGAAACCGTAAGTTATTTGATAAATAATAAAATCGGCGCCAAGAAACACATCAAAAGAAATGCGAACAACACGATTTAAGTTGAGTTTGTATTTTCTGCTTTGTTTTTGTGTGTACATTTTTTTGCGAAAAGTAAAAGTGGTTCAACGGGTGGCGTTTGAACTGCGTGGCTATGCGTCGTCGTTGTTGCTGCTTTTGATGTTGCCTGCCATAAAACCCGTGTTGACTTTGAAGCAGTCAGGCAGTCAGAGTCGGCCACAAAAGGAAGACATGAATATGATGAAAATGGCCAACATAAAACAAACCACGAGGACTCGATCATAGCTGCTTAAAACAACAACAATGCAGCTACAAAACCAACGACGCAGTTTGTCGTCTTTGATTTTCATTTCGGTCTTTTCTTTTTACGTGTTTTTTTTTTGTATCTTATCCGCTCTTGCGCTACGCATTTTATTTTTCACAGCAGTCTGCCAGTCGGCAACTTCCTTGAAATTTTAATGCAGTCGCCACAGGCTGGTCTTTTATTTATTTATTTTTTTATATGAATATTAATAAGTATTAAAGTGGACAACGTGCGGGCAGCCTGGCTTTAGCCTCGCTTCCTTATGGACAGACAGAGCAGCTCTTAACCAGCATCAATTGCTCTACTCTTAGCTTCAAATGGGACTATTTGGAAATTTCTACAAATACTTGAAGTACACATTTTGTTGATGCTTTAAGTTCACTGGAATAGAATAGTTTTGGTGCTAGTTCTAAGCCCAATAGCACCACAATAACTCTTTTCATTTGATTTAAATTAGAGTTCCTCAACAACAACAACATGCCGCGATGAATCTGCACATATTACGAGTATAGTATTTAAATAAATACTTTAATATATTTAAACAATTTTAGCTTGTTTTCACACTGTTCGGCAGAAGTATTTTAGGTTTTACAAAAATAACATTATACTTACATTCCCGTATTCAACGTTAAATTGGGTTTCTGCAGTATAGTAGGGATTAATGAACTTATTTTATTTAATACTTACATTAAACAAATTCAATAGGATTTTCGAGGGTTGGAATAAGAATTTTGACAAATGGTTATTATTAGAGAATTAAAGCTTAACAGAACTAAAGAAACTGATTGTGAGGTACTAAAATGTTTAGTCCTCTTTGACTTCAAGAGCTTTTAAAACGCAGTCAGCCTCAATTACGTTCTCAATTACGATCCCATTATGGAACCGTCATTATTGGGGAACTTTACAAATTTTTGTGGCATTTGCATTTCCAATTCATCTCTGAAACAGTTTTACCTTCACTCACACTTTACTGTCAACAACACTTAGACACACTTACTCAGCCGAAGTGGTTAAAAAACTCACTCACAATTAATTTTAAATTAAATATCAATTAAGTAGAATATTAATTATGAATATTAATAATTATAAATTATATTATCATTAAATAAAAATTTGAATTTTCAGTTGAAATAAAATCATGAGCTTGCAAATAAGGGTATTGCAAAAGAAATGCGCTCTACTCAATGTGGTAAAAAGTTCTGATCTTTGGAAATTTTCTATAATCTATAATTATAACTATAATTATAATTATATATTATAATTTCTTTGGAAATTTTCTATAATCTATAATTATCACTATAATTATAATTATATATTATAATTTCTAGATATACATGCATATGTATGTGCCAAATTTTATGCTTGCTATATACTAACTATAATTTTACAATTAGTTTATCAAACCCTATGCTGATAAGGTTAATTGCATGAGTTTTGTTTAAACATCATGATTTCCGTTTCTTTTTTAATGCTCAACATTTTTGCCACATTTTGACTCTTAGAGGCTCTGCTTGCTTCCAATTAAAACAATATTTAAATTAATATAAATTAGTTGTTTAATTCTATGCAAATATTTCTTTGAAGACAGTTCATTTTTATGCACGCATATACCTTTAGTGATTTAAGTCGTATTAAAATAGGTTTAAATATTACAAGTTTTGAATTGTAAATATAAAATATTATTATTCAGTACTCAGTGGATATTGGTTTTCAGGTAGCATTACTGCCTTATAACGGAACTGTGGCGCTACACGCATGCGTACCTTCAGACAGCACAGGCAACTATGTACAATATACTTGTATATGATGTGCTGGATGTGCTGCTCATTCAAGAGAAACCAATAAGAGACAAAGAAACAATACATATGTATATACGCGAATGTATAAATTGTATACACAAAGGTATATCAACATGCGATTAAGTGGATCTGGAAATGAAACGAACCATTTACAGACGCTTAAATGGAATTCCGCATGCTTGAATTTCAGTGCAATTTCTGTTCGAACAACCAAGTGGCTGGACAAGTGTGTTTGCCGTCTATAATCGTACATAAATAATACGAGTATCATATGTTCAGGATGGAGCGAAACAGAAGATGCAGGAAACAAAATCGTTCAATACACCCAAATACTCGTATACACAACAGGTAACACAATTCGGTGGCACTCTAGTCAGTTGCAACCTGCAACACAGAAAGGCCTGAAGAAATGCAGTCCATTGTGGGGAGCTGCATTATTGTTAAACGATCATAGGCACGCACACGGACTGCCCTTAACCGCATTTCTTGCCCATTTGGCCAACGAATTACACACACTAAGCATCTAATTAATAAGCCAGGCCCAGTGTGCACATCGCTTAATTGTGACAAAGGCTTGTGGTCGTACTACTACGTGACGACCTTCAACGATGGGTTTATTGAACAAGAATTCCCAAAAAAAAAAAAAAACAACAACAACAACAAATACAAATACAAGAAATAAAATGGACAAAACTTGAACAAATACAAGTATATTGATCGTCTGTTTGTTTTTCTATTCAATTGGGGACTTTTGATTTCTCAAATGTGCATATGTATGTGTGTAGTCGTGCTATTAATTTGCATTGCGCCAAAGTTGTTTTCGCCTTATTCGCCGCCCGATTTTTATGAAAATTGATCACATTTATTGCCATAAGCTTGGCCAGCGATTACAACATCTGGAGCAGACTGGCTGGCCGCCGCCCCCAGCCACCCAGCCAGCCCCCCTGCCGCCCAGTCGCTCGACGGCAATCCAAACAAATGCGAATGCGGGCCGCAAAGCAAAGCAAAAGAGCGACAATAAAATGCCGGCTCGAACCAAACTGAGCGCAAAGCTTTTGGCCATCGTCGAAAAGCTTGCTCACCAGCCACACATAATTGTTTACACACGAAACCGTTATCAGAATTCAAGGTCTTTTGCGGCGCTCTCAATTCCGAGTGCGCGCTCATTTCATTTCTTTTGCCATCAATTTCCATGAGCCACCAAACCACCTGCAGCTGCGTGCCGCGTATTTAACCGTAGCGCCAAGACCCCAGCGCGACAGTCTTTTCCAAGAAAGTGGCCAAAGTGGTTGCCAACCGAGCCACCGAACAGTGTCTTCCAGAGTTCAGAGTCAGAGTAATAATAATATTGTTTGTCGTGCACAAGTGAAGGGCCAACTGCATCTGTGTGCTGCAAAGTCGATTCGGTTCAACAAAAAATCGGGCGCCATGAGGATCCAGGGGCACTTTGTGGTAATTACGAGTATAAAAGGCTCCTTGCCTGCCACCAAGCAAATGTGTCAAATGGAGAGACAGTGAAAAGCGCATTAGCATGTTTGCGAAAATCCATAGCTGTTGATATTTGTGTTACGATTAAGTGCGATCGCAGCCAAGTGGAACTAATACTGTTGTTTGCCAAACCGTAATTATGGCACTTTACGGCAATTTCATGTAGTTTACTCAAAAAAAATGTAAATAATAACGATTGTGGGCGATTTCTCGGTAGCTTAAAAAACGAGCCCAGCAGCATTACAAAAGATTAAACCATTAGAGTGAAGCTGTTGCGATAGTTTTTCTTTATTTTATCTATTATGGCAGCCATTACAAACATGGAGGTGTTACACAAAAAATGGAATTTAAAGCATGGCTCAAGTATTCAATTTTTATTTAAATTAAAAGCTTCATTTAACTTTATAGCTGCGTCAATTGCTTTTTGTTAAAAAGAATTGCCTCTTCAACTTGTCAAGTGCCTTTAATTATTTGCTAACACATGAGTATCAAAGAAAATTCAGTTTACATTTTTGAAAAGCTCTAATTATAATTATTTTCCATAATATAGTTTGCAATTTAAAGACCAACAAATACACAGCATGTGAAATAGATGGAAATTAAAGCAATGTCCATTGTGAGGCTTATCAAGTGCCTTAAATAATTTGCTAAATAGATAAACTTATTGCAGACTTTAAATTAACTTTTCTTTTTGCAATTAGACAATAATTGCCTTTAACGTAGTTTTAAAGACCAAGAGACAGCATTTTAAATAGGAGGTAATGAAAACAGGGCTTTTGAAATTAATTAAATTTTTTTGTGATATAATTTGGTTTCCTTTCTTTGATTATTTTTAACTTCCTTTATTTATGTCGCTTTTCATTGTCTTACTCTTCACTCATAGAGGTAATAATTCTTATAAGCATCTCAATTGGTCTAGAGCAATGGATATTTATCTTAAAAATCCAAACATGCCGTTTATTCGGCTTGTGAGTACATATTGTCAACCATTTCGTGCGTCGACGAGATCGCTTCATTAGCACACGTCCATAAAATGCATTGAAAAACAGCTCTTTCCATCACGAAGCAGTCGTGGCCTAGACAGCCGCCAGAGTTGCAGAGCACCACTAAGCCCCTCCAGATGGGACTTTCACTGGCGCCGCAACTGCGGAAGCTGGCTGCGCATGATGGGCCCACAATTAGCACCCTCGATGCATGCGATGAGATAATTTTTTGCAGGCGTTAATTTCCGTTTCATAATCGGGTCTAACGATCACACTGTTGACAATCGTATGCAAATTGATTGGAGCGTGTGTGTAGCAGAAGTCTATTAGTGTGCGTGTGCATATATATGTGTGTGTGTGTGTTTGTGCTTTTGTGTAATTGAGTGACAAATCCAAGAAATCCCAAATCCATCTGACGCAAAGGCACGTCTGCCAAATACTTTGACCTCGTCGCTGCATCCAAATAAAGAGGTTTGCACTTTCAACAGCGTCTACCCAAAAATAGATTTGAAATGCAAATATATTTGCATAATAAAACAACTCGTGATATATGTACCTATATGTATAAGAGACCAGCCCGACAACATCAACGACAAGAGGGGCATGCCCATGATTCAAACTTAATTCGGCTGTCAACTACCATTTAACCCACGCTTTTGTGACCCAGGTCAGTGTGCCTGTTTCTGTTCGTATGTTAATTTGTTTTCATATGTTTATCTGCCACATACGGGTAAATAAGCCCTTATGTAACATTTCACTCTTACTTTTGTGTGGTTCAAGTCAGTCAGTGACTGACTGACTCTTGGCAAACAAACCTTATAAGCGTAGAATGAGGTAAACAGTCGTCGACGCAGCGACCCAATTTAAAACCAGTTTAAAGCTCCACAAATCATACAGAGAATATTCAACCGATTTACATACATAAATGTTGCGAATTTTTTCTGTGATGATCAAGTTCGTTGCCCAAGTCTTTTGTTTTCATTTCAAACCAAGCATTGAACTCGACATTTCCCATTGCTTACAGTTGGGTCTGCTCGGCGCGCTCTCCGTGGCCATATGCGGCGGTCAGGCAAAAGCTCTGACCGATCAAAAGGCTGCCGAGTCGCAGGTAAGCAGCAAGGATGTGGCGCAGAAGCGCATCGATCTCGGGTTCAGCGAGCACGAGATACACGAGCATCACATTCATGAGCACGAACATCACGAGCACCACGAACATCACGACCCGGGCTTCTGGAAGAAAAAAGTTACGTGGAAGCTGGGCTATAAGAAGATATGGAAGCCGGCCAAGAAACAAATTTGGAATCCCTCATGGAAAAAGGTAAGCTAAGTTGTGAATGACTTAAATTATATAGAACTGAATATTAGACCGATTTTTAAACTATTTCTTTACTTCCACATATGAAAATATTACACAATTTTTACAAAAATTTAAATTATTAACTAAAATAGCAAACACTTTTCTTCTCCTAAATTGGAGTTGGAAAATATGTTGAATGTAAAAAAATGTAATCAACCTACAAGTATTACTTTTTTTTTTTGAATGCGGTATAAATTTATCATTAACATTTAATTAAAATAAACTCAAGTATGAAAAATATAAATTCTAGCCCGATCGGTGTGGAATTTTCCGATTAATTTCTCCACCATTTCATCTCTCTTCAGTGAATTGCAAATTCACATTTAAACGACAACAATAAAAATTGAGGTCCCCGACCAACTAATATTTTATAATGATTTTATCCATATAACCATTTCCATTTTCTTACAGTTTTACAAACCGGTTTGGAAGGAGATTAAAGTGCCGGCCTGGAAAGACATTCAAGTACCAGCTTGGAAGCAAATTTGGGTAACTCTTTTTTTTTACTTTACCTTTTTTATGAACTTAGAGAATTTTCTCCACTTTCTAGGTGCCCCATTGGGTAGAAATACAAGTGCCAGCCTGGAAAGAGATACAAGTAAGCTCAAACATACATATATGGTGTGTATATCCACCGTTTACATAAAAACTTCTGTACAGGTGCCCGATTGGAAGCAAATCTGGACACCTGAGCTCGTCAAAGTAGGCATACCTGGGGAGAAATACCTGGGCAAGGATCACGAGGGCTGGGAATATACTAGTCATGATCTGTGGAAGAAGAAGGTTGTGTGGAAGTCTCATTGGAAGAAAATCTGGAAGCCGGCTAAGAAACAGATCTGGGTTCCCAGTAAGAAACTGGAGTGGAAGGAAGCATGGAAGCAATACTGGAAACCAGCTAAAAAGCAAATATGGGTAGGTTATACCAAAAAAAAGGAAAATGGAAAACCGAAAGCTATAAAGGGACATTTAAGTGTATTTAACATTTTTAATTTGTTGAACAAATTACAATTTTAAAGTATACTTAAAAATGTAAAAGACTCTGTGGGAATTAACGTATAACTCTGAACACGAATAGGTTGATGACAAGAAACTGGAGTGGAAGGAGGGCTACAAACAAATCTGGGTGCCCGGCTGGAAGGAGATTTGGGTGCCTGGCTGGAAGCAAATCTGGAAACCAGTTGTCATTTCCGAATGGTTCCCCTCGCCGGACCATCACGATCACCACCATCACGAACATCACGACGTCGAGTTGGGCTGGGACCGCAAGGATGAGGCGGCCAAAGGAAAGGACAAGGTGGTATGGAAACGTGAGGATAAGAGCGCAGCAACGGGCAACTTGACGCCCAATAAGCCAACACTGCTACAACCAGTTGCCAGTGCCGATTTCCAGGCCAAGACGCTAGAGGCGGCCAAATCGTCGGCTGCGAACACAGCGCAATCTTTTAAATTTCCTGGTGCGTAGGCAGCGCCAGTGCGAGCGCCACACACGTCACTGCACCTGTGCCTTTGCCATTTCCTATCCATAGCAGCCGCCCCCGCCCCCCCCATCTCCTGCCCCCGCACTCCATGTAAATAGTGTAAACCAGTCGTTAGCAAGTAAGGCCTTCGTTGCTTTTGCGTCATTTTAAATTATCACTAGACTTAACTCTGTTGTTTAATTGCTAAAAACAATAAAAAAAAAATAAAAACTAAATAAATATTAAAACTAAAGTAGAATTAATTAATGCCAGGAACTTTTGCTTAGCCTCTCAGATCAGATTCTTGTGCTTGTAGCCGTGCTCATCTTTCTGCCAGGAGTTGGGTGCATTCGGCAGCGGCACCCATTCGTTGTGTATGGTCGGCGTCCAAACTTTCTTCCACACCGGCACATATATAGCCTTGGGGCGCCAGTATTTGACCCAACGCGAGCTCCAGGTGGTTTTGTTGGCCCAAAAGCCATCCGCCTGCGGATCTGTTGTCTCCGTATGACGCACGCTTCAAGTGTGAGAGTGAATGTGAGGTGCTTGAAGTGAAAGTGGTTTGAAGCTTGACGATTATGCAACTCACATGGTGGTGGTCTTGCCGCCCCAACAGGCAGCAATAAGCAGGCAAAGCGGCAGCAGCAACAGACAGACACTCACTTCATAGAGCCTCATTGTTTGACTTTTTGGCCTGTTTCTTTCTTCTTTTCTTTTTTTTTTTTGGTTTATATCATATATCCTTATTGGCAGACTGTTCCAAGCCCAACCCACAACCAACCCACAGCCAACCTCGTCTGAGGCAAGTTTCGCAATCGAATGACGCCGTTTTGCTTTTCTTTTAATTTTAAATAGTCGAATTGTACGATTATCTGCGCTATCGCAGCTCATTAAGATGCAAACCAGCACGTGGCCAAGTCCAAGGCGTGCGTCTGGCAAATGAATTGCCAAAATGAGGCGAGCTTGGCTCGCACTTTGCACAAATTTTGCGTGAAAACTGTTGTAAGTGAAGCAAAATGCGGGCCGGCTCATGTACTCGAAGTTACATTATATAACGGCCTATATGTACATCGTTATCGTTTGCTTTTATTGCATTTAAATACACTTTAAAAAAGAAACCCCCCATTTCGTTTTGCGATACACAACAGAGTTTGGCGAGTTGAAACTTATCGGTGAAGTATGTACAATGGTTCTTTAATAGTTACTATATATCTCTCGGCATATTGTCTAGAATTTTTCCCACACATATATTGTATTTGAAATTTGATTTAAATTTAACGAATTTATTTAACATAAATACAATGATTTATACAACACTAACTGATACGCGTATTATAATATATTAGAACTAGTTACATAGTTGCAGTTGTTTGTTCTATTTTTGATTCTTTGTTGCAAAGTACATACAGTATAGTATACTAGTTAAGCAAAAGTCAATGATAGACACATAGAAAGGCGTGCTTAAATAGTTTTCAAAAAAAAAAACAAAAACAAATATTGTCTACATACAGAAGAGTATGCATTACTTGTATGAGTAGATAAGCAGCCGTATTAAAAATACATATTTGGTTGTTAAAACTAAACTTAGAAATAGTATGGCACAAATAGCCTACAAATTAAAGCCAAAGCCATAGCTTCAGGTGCAATAAATCGCAAAAATACAAGTAGTTATTGCCTTAATGCTACAGACATAACAAATGGCATACATACTACAAATAGCTAATATTCATTTATTCATCCCAGTGATATACAAACTGAAGAAGTTCGCCCGTCAAAACAATCGAACAAGCGGCTTTCGTTTAACATCCATATGTGTGTCGGTGTGTCGGTGTGTGTGTGTGTCTGTTCGTCTGCCTTTGTGTGGGTTTAAATGTTTAAATGTTCTATATGCTTTTTAGTATGTACAGTATACAAGTATTTTAATTGTTTGTTTGTATTTCGCCTGCTAGTGTCAGTCTTTTGAAATACCATTTGAATTCAATTCATTTGCAATTACAATTGGTTCGTTTCTGTTCTCGTTTTTGCTTTTCGTGCAGGAATGTTCTGTGGTTCTTCTGTCTGTGCGAAAGTGCGTGTGTGTGTGTGTGTGTGTATCTGCATCTGTATGTGTGTGGGTTTGTTCACAAAAGACACATACAATTTTGCCATTATTATATGTATGTACGTAATATACATAAGATGGGGATAGCTAACTAAACTTAAATAATGAGTACACAATTGATTCGAGTTCTCCTTCACTCAAAGGACATCAGATTCGCTGGCAACGGCTTCGGCACACGCATGCTGGCCAGCTTGCAAATGGCGTTTGTCCAGAGGTGCGTCATCTGCGGACTGTCCGTACGGAACTTGTACACGGTGCCCAAGTGGCGGTGATGCAGCTCGAAGGTGTTCTTATGCTTCGTATTGTCGCTCACATGCGCCATCCAGCCGTCCAGGGAGCACACTTTGCAGGGCTCGCGCTTGAAGTCCTCGCGCTCGCTACCCTTGAAGGACTTGGGCGGAAAGTAGACAAGGGAATTGGCCCAGATTTGCAGCCAGTAGCGTTGCCAGGAGGCCACTGCCGGCTTGCGACCCTCCTTCTGCACGGTCTTGCGTCGCACGCATCCCTGCATTGCCGCCGCCGCCTCTGGGGACATCAGATCGCAGTCGCTGCCTCCGAAATCGCACAGAATCCCCTCCGCACTTTCCAGCGAAGTCAGGTCGGCGGTCGACAGTGCGTCGCTGTGCTCCAGCACGGAGTCGTCCAGCAAATGATGGCGCGGCTGTTGGCTTAGATCGTGCTCCAAATGATGTGCGTGGCCATGGACCTCGTAAGTGGTCGGCGTGTGCGCAATTTTCCCAAAAATGCTATAGTTGTGTGCGGAGAAGAAACACTCGAATTAGTTATGACTTGTCTGGGAAATTACCAAATATCGGCTTGGGTGGGAGGCAGAGGCATGCAGACGCCGGCAAGCATTTAGAACAACAACCAAATGTAATTTAAAAGCAACTTAGAGCAAACTTTGTATATCTTTAATATTTCTGTATAGGAAATAAACAATCCCCTAATATTTACAGTCAAAAGTATACTCCCTCTCATCTATTTGGGTCTACTCTAATGGGTAACTCAGTAGAAATTACAAATCTACAAGTCCACAAAAGCAAGTGATCATGAGAATTGAATTTTTGGAGTCAGACCTGAAGCATATTGAGGCACAAGAGTGAAAATTTGTCGGTTAATCTACTAGTATAAGGGAAATGTTCAGGAGAAGAATAAAGTCAGTTTAAAATAAATGTTTTTCCTGTTTCAAAAGTTCGAGAATTATGGGAATGCCAAAATCGTTCTTTGAATGAATGTGTAGAGGAATAAATAGCATTCATATTTTAAACTATATTGATTCAGAAGAATTAATCAGTTTATAAGAAATATAATATTTCCAGTTTTAAGAGCTCGAGAATTATGGGAATACCAAGATCGTTCTTCTTATACATAATGTTAAAATAAGAATGTTTTAGAGGCATAAATAGCTTTCATATTTTAAATGATATTGCCTTTCATTTAGAAGAAGAATTAATCAGTTTATAAAAAATATAATATCTCCTGTTTCAAAAGTTCGAGAATTATGGGAATGCCAAAATCGTTCTTTAGAGGAATAAATAGCGTTCATATAATATTTTAAAATATATTGCCTTTCATTTAGAAGAAGAATTAATCAGTTTATAACAAATATAATATTTCCTGCTTTAAAAGTTCGAGAACTATGGGAATACAAAGATCGTTCTTCATATGCATAATGTTCAAATATGAATGTTTAAGAGGCATACAAATATATTGCCTTTCATTTAGAAGAAGAATTAATCAGTTTGTAAGAAATAAAATATTTTCTTTTTCAAATATGAATATTAAATTAATCAAAATTTTTTACAATGAATGACCTAATAATACGCCCCTTAGTAGGCTGGCAGAGGGTCCCAAAAGGGTAACTTATAGCTTAACATAGAGGATGAAACATTTTCAGTGAATATACGACTCTTAGAGGTAGTACTTTAAAAAATTCGAATGATATTAATTTTCCCTAAAGTGGTTCATTTGATATTGACTGCCGATCTACTGATAATGATAAGTATAACCAGGAAAGTATGGTTCATTTGATATTGACTTTGACTGCCGATCTACTGAAGAGCAGTGTTTCGATAATGATAAGTATAACCAGGAAAGTGTGTACTCGTGTATATATACATATGTATGTAGCATGTTTGTGGGTATATCTGGGTTTATCGGATGTGTTGACGTTTGTGTGCATTGTGTGTTCATATGAAGCATTTTGAAATTGGGTCCGTGCAACTTAAAAAACAATATGGAAATCATGAGTCATAACTGCATATGCATACGAGTATATCCGAACTAAGGGGTTACGCACTCACCGACGGCATCTGCAACGCTTGTTCGAGATTGTGCCAATGCCCGGCGCAATCATCACAATGCAGCCCTGGCACTTTTGTGCAAAGTTGCGAGGCAAGCTGCTGCTGCGAAATCTGATTGAGAACCCAGTGTGTGGGGGTTCATTTCATTTGATTTAATTTGTTTTTGCCGAAACGAAATCAAAAGCCAAAAGCAAAATGTTAGGTGAGAGATTTGTGGTCATAAGTTAATAAAGACCCGACGTTTGTGTGCGTGTGTGTGTGTGTGTAGGTGTAGATGTGTATATTATTTCCAATTGCGCAGTGAAAGTGAGGAGAATAGAAGGCGAGTAGTAAGTAGTGGGGCATTGTTGTTGTAGTTTTGTAGTCATGGGTGAAACGAAATTGAAACGTAAACGGACGAAACAACACAAGTGTGATTTGTACGGACAAAAAAGAGCAATCGATAGTCGGAGGTTTCGAGTTCACTTACTTGGTGCCCAGACTGCGACACTTGCGATGGCCCGGAACGAATTTTGTGCCGCTTGCCATGCGCATGGAGCCGATGGTTTTAGCCGGCGAGAGATTCAGGCAGCCGAGAGCGGGTCCCAGCATTTCCACATTGAAGGACTCCTTCGAGCTGCACGAAGACGAACTGGGACCAGATGGTGAGGTGGGTTCAAGATTCAGTGATCGTCTGAATAATACAAGAAAATAAAATTTTACATTTTTATGAATAATTGTTAATATTTGTTTAATGGCTTGTGGCTCACCACGCCATGCTGAGTGATGTGCTAAGCTAAGGCACTTCCTCAAATCTATTTTCGCAAGCAGCCTCGTGAGGTCTACCTGTTTCTCATTCTGCCTTACTTCATCTAGATAGCTCTAAAATAGAACTAAGTTTTCTCTTGTACTATATATTTTCTTCTTAGTGGTGTAGGTCTATAATGTCTCTGACTACATATGGCTGTGAATCGGGGCATAGCTGGCCAAATAGCATTAATAGACATTACTGTATAATTATTCTTGGGGCTTTTTTATTTTTTAAAGTTTAAATTATAACTGAATTTTAGTAAACTTTGTTGACAGCATTATGTGTTGATATACTAGATAAATAAATAAATCTCTTTCTATATACAAGATAGCAATGTTGTCTATTAAGACTGAACACCTAGTTTAGTTGTATTTGTATTAAGCTATAAGTTTAATTTAAGTTATAAAAAAATGTCTGCCCTACAGGTTTCAATTTTCTCATGACACTAACTTTATCATTTTTCAGGCTGTACTCCTTATCCTTTCAAGAATAGAACCCAAAACTTTGAAAACTATATAATATAGTGCTTCAATTTCAATTAAACTGTAGTAAGATGCTGACTATAGTTATGATATTTTAATCAATGAATAGTTACTTTATTAAGAGCAAAACTTCTAAAGTTTTCGGTGCTCATACAGACAGACAGATCTATATATTCTGATCGTATAATAACATGAATTCTATCATGGTGCCATCTACCTGTTCCATACATTTTGGTAAAAATGTTCTATATTTTTCGTTTGTTTCTCAAAACATTAATTTAAGCTATTAAACACAGAGAAAATTTACATCGATTCTAAAATAATTAAATGCTACCCTCAACACAATAAAAAATTGATCGACTAGCATCAATAAAATTGGTTCTTTTCGTTTCTTAAATCATTCAAAATCCCTCATATGCATCATTTATGAGTGGTGTACATATGTTTGTATATATTTGAGGATGTGATAACAAAGTTACACAAAAGGCCACTCTTACTCACTTATATTGATCTTCTTCGAATATGTTTTGTAATTCCTCGATGTAACGTATCGATGTCAAGTACTTTTGTGTTATTTCGTGAGCCACAATGTGCTTGTAGTCAGACTGCTGATAGTTCGATATGACGCGCAAGATGTTGTTCATTTTGTTGCGTCGCTGTTCCGGCTCCAGACCGCCCTTGTGCGGATGTGCCAGATCGATGTATATAAGATCGGTGAGAAATAGTCCCAAATACGGTATGCAGGGTAGTCGTAGGCTCTCCAAGTAGGCCCGTAAATTTGACCAGTTATTCTGATCACTGAATATATCGCTGAGCCGCTCAAATGATTGACGATCCTTCTTGGACAGGCAGGCCCAAGTTTTCTTCAATCGATAAATGCTAGCGCTTTGCATGGCCGATATGATGGCGAACAGCGAGTGTAGATTGTTAAGTTCGTGCAGTTTTTTGGCCACCTAAAAAGAAATAAACTATATAATCGAGCAATTAACTAAATAAATTTTCTCTCACCTTGATGAAATGCGTCATTATTTCAGCACGTTGCTTCGGCTGTTCGCCATTCAGTATTTCCTGCACTGTCCAGAAACTGGTGTGATTGAAGCGCTTCGTAAATGCCACAATATTGGGCGTGACGACATGCTTGTCCTTCTTTGTCCAGGCACAGCTGCTCAGCTCATCCGGTTGTATGAGCGCGAACACGGGAAAGTCGAGCAGCGTTATTTGATTGGCCAAGACATCGGCGGGTACGCGCAAAGCGCTCATGATGACCGCATCCAATTGCTTAATGGATGAATGCGCGGGCAGACTTTGAGACTTTGAGGCCGGCGCAACGGGTGCTCTGCAAACCGAAGAACAGATAAATTCGAATTAGTCTCGATCCTTGAATCAAATATGATATTCCCACTTACGCCATACTGTAGTAGCAGCCGGGGGAATCTGGCGACGAGGAAAAGCTGTTCAAACAGCCAATGGAGTTTTTACGACGCCCGCTCTTTATGTTCAGCGATTTGCTGGACGGTTGCTGTTGTTGCTGATGCTTCCCCACGTGCTGCTTCACCTCCAACTCCTGCTTCATTAGGTTCTTGGCACTGGCCGCCAGCTGTTGCCGCGGTGTTTGCTGTGCCTGCTGGCGTATGTAGGCAATAGTATTGGCATTGCCATTGCCATTGCCATTGGAGCAGCGCCATAGCTGTTGGGCGGTGGAACTAAGTTGTTGCTGTTGGTAGCACGGGTGCTCATAATTCTGTCCCGCATAGCCATAGTCGTGTGTTGTGGGTTCGTGCGATTTTCTGCTCAACTATTGAATAAAAAGAAAACCAGTCATATTGGTAAACCTTTTAAAATCAAAATAATGGCAATGGTCTTACCTCCGTGTAGTGCAGGCTGTCCGAGTTCAAGTCACGCGATATTTCCGAGTAGCGCATCATGGCAACTGTGTGGCACGCTCATAAACCGTTTCTTCAGTTCAGCAACAGTCTGCAATGAGTGTACATAATCGTGTTGGGAAATGTAGTTTACAATTTGAAAATAGGAAATAGTTTCTGATTGCTTGTACTACATACTTGTACTATACTACTGCCTAAGTGTGCTTCTATTTTTCCTGCAATGCGCTCCGCTAGGCATGCGTTTGTTTACTGAACTGAGCTTTTGGTGCCATTAGTTTGTTGCAACGTCGCAGTGCAGAGGCGCAGCGGCAGCGCCAAGTAACGAACAACCTCAACATTCAAAATTTCAAAAGAGGCAACACGACTGAGGCAAGACGAAGTTTAAATGCTCTTGCGAGCTCAAGAAGGTCTGCTCTTTTCAATGCGTGCAATTAACAACTATTTTATATAATGCGAGTAAGTGGCAAACAGTTTTGGAAATGGGCTTTCGATTTCAGGAGTTAGACGAGGAATTATAGTTATATATAAAACTATCGTCAGCATTGCACGGGTATTTTACAAAAATATTAAAAATTTTAACACACATACACCCTAATATTTTGTATGAGTTACTAAAAAAAAGTAATATTATTAACATAGCTTGGATATTATTATTTAAATCATATTTTTGTTATTCTTTATTGAGTCAGAGCTTCACTGTAAAAGATATTTTATGTAGTTTATTTTATAGCAGCTTAATAAATTGTCATTCAGCTGGCCATGAGAAAAACATTTCTTTTGATCCTTTAGAGCGATCCCTACTAGCTCGAAGGTTTTGCCTTGGGGCTTGTTAATATTTAACGCGAAAGATGTTTTTTTACCGGAAATTGAAGCCGTTTAAATGGGATTTACAGATCAGTTGGGACCATCGGTATAAGAGATAGTGACCAGCTCAAAAGCATGATTGGAATTTCGATTATTAACTTCAAATCATGTGGCGGCAGTCCACAAGGGCTTACAGAATTTAAATGGATTGTGTCTTCTATATTATTCACAGGGTCTATTGATTTGTAATTTTTTATATGGCTGCGAACTTTTGAACAATATTGCCTCAATAAAGGGACATAATGTTTCGAGGATGATTCTATGATGAACTAACAGCATGCTGTTCAGGAATTTTTTAAGTAATTTATTTACACCGTGGGTTACATTTATTACAATAAATGTATTACAATTATTGGCGCTTTAGTAAGGATCTCTATCTTTGTTGCAAATATAATATAGCCTATGTTAACCGGCTATAATGTAGCTTCCCAACAGTGACAGAATCCTTCAAATCGGTCCAGTAGTTTCGGAGCCTATTCAATGCAAATAAATAAACCAACAAATCTTTATAATATTAGTACACCTAATTCTGTTTTTACACGGTAGATTGGTTCCGGAAAGAGTCTTGAACAAAAATTATTAATTTTCAAACCGTGTTAAATCAAACCCGTGTAAAAACAGACCCAGGTGTATAGATGTTTATCATTCTCGTATAAGAGGTTTCTGCATGTTTCCTTTTCAATGCCTATGGATTGCATATTACCTCCTAAATTTTGACACTCTTTTGTTGGGAAGGGTATAACAAGCCAAGTGATTGACGTCGGGCAGGCTTTTGGCCACTGTGTCTGGCATGTGCGCGCGCGCTTTTTCCTGCTGCACGCTTCGCTGGCCAATGGGCTATGTGAGTCACGAGCGGACCACATAACAGACACACATCCATACACACACACAGACCACTCTGAAATCGTGCTAGAAGACTTGCTCTTTTATGGTAGCAGTCAAATGGGTTTTGGGGGTGCCGCCTCAGCTGCTTCCACAGCAAGCTGCAACTGCCACTGCCACTGCAACAGAAACTGGCGGCTTGGCCAGTCAAACACACTGCCGTAGTGTTGTGGCCCATATGGGAAGTGGAAAATTTCAAAAAACAAGTCAGACAAAGTTGGTTCAATGAACCCACTAAACTAATTTGAACAAACCCTTCTTGGCCAGCAGAAACTGCTGGTCTGTGGTCAGGATGGACGCGATGGGGAGCGGAAATTGTTCAGGCGGCATAGAAAGCGCACACATATATGTATGTACATTCTATATATGTTTACACTATGAGTACGGATAGACATTCTATATATCTGTATACAAGTATGTATGCATTTCTCTTCGACTGACATATGCGACCCCGTCTAATTAATTTCAATTTAGTCATAATAATTTCAAAGCAAATGTTGATCAAATGGAATGACGACGTTGTGGCCATCGGTCTGCTTCGATTATTTTCGATCTTCTTGAATGCCTAAACGCGCAAAATGATTGGGGAAATGTGAACTTCTTGATCCGCTACACCATAACAAACATTCATCTGTATGTATAGTAGTTAAAAATGAAGTCAGTTTAGACAATTTGCACGACAGAAAAGTTGAACAAATAATATTCATTAATTACCAAGCATATCACGCCCCATAATTATAAATAATTTAAAGAACATTTTGCAATATTAAATATGCCGCTTATTGCAGCGCATTTCAACTCTGAGCACAATTGAAATTATAAATAAACAATAAACAACAGCATATTGAGCAGGAAAGCAAGGAAAAAAATTACAACAACAACAACAATTATTATCTAAAGTGAAAAACCAGACTGCCTCAAGTTTTCAGCAAACGGACTTCATCAATAGCTATTGGAAGCTATGCAGACAAACTGACAAGGCCTATGGAAAGATGAACATGCGGAACAAATATATACATATATATTCTATATATGTATGTATATGTATGTATGCCTATATAATATTTGCAGTGTTTTCTTATGGCCGGCTGGAGGAAAATTTATGGATATCACATGCAATTAAAGCTAAATAATTAACACACATCCGAACATTTGTGTGTCTTCGAGGTCTGAGTTATGGCAAATAAAATGGATGTATTGTTTTCAGTTGTTGCTGTGAGCTACCATGTGTATCCATGTATCTACACGTAACTGCGTGTTCCCACGCACACACACACACACACACACACACATACACATACATACGTATGTAAATATGTGCATTAGCACCTGCATATCTAGAAACAATACACATGTACGCAAATGTTCTCTGACAAGTCGCGGCAATTTGTAACGATTTCCGTTTTGATTTATTTTCGCAAAGTAAACTTTGCATATCTCCATACAAGTATACTATCTATATATGTATATATGTATATGCAGTTATTTGCTTGCTTACTAAGTACATTTGTGCATATCAGCAACAACAACTCCAAATAAAAAGCCAATCTTTGTTGAATGTGCTGAGCTTCTCAATTGTGGTCAGGGACAAGGCGGCATTTATTGAAGGGGGCGGTAGCGAGGGCGTTACTCGGACCATGTCCGAATGCATGTCTGTATGTGTGCGTGTGTGTGTGCGTGCGTGTGTATCTGTGTTTATTGCGTGGTTGACTCCCAACTGTTGCGCTTTAGCGGCCCACTGCCTGCATGTTTATTGTTTTTACATAAATTTCTTAATCAAAATAAACAGCAAAGCAAGAACAAAAATTCAATGCGGGGCAGAAAAGTTCGCGGAAATCACGGGTTGTCCGCCGCCCATTTGTTTATCAGAGGCCGAATTCTACAAGTATTTAAGTAATATGTATTCTCAATATAAAACATGAGGCGTAAATACGTACATATGTACATATGTGTGTAGTACATGTTTTGGTATGTGCCTGTGCGTATGTTTATGCGTTTATATAGTACAATACGTATGGCGGGGGCAGCCTTTAATGTCCATTGATATATTCTGATAATGCGGGGGCTAGTCAACCCATTAAGCTAAGAGGAAGCGCATATATTACTTGCTAGCTACATACACTCAACAAAATTCAAAATAAAAAACAGACTCCACAATCAAGAAAAATTGCTATAAATAAAAAGTATATTACCAGCGTTTATTTATATCGAATGTCCCTGGAAGCTTTTTTCAGTTCCTTTATGGTCTCAAGATAAGCTGTTTACTTAATTCATTCTTGCAGAGACTTGCAAAATTATCATTATACTGTATTAGCTTTCAGATAGAACTAGCCTGCCCTCTATCAGAAAGTTATTAATTATTTTTTATTAAGTCCAGAAGTATACGCAATCGGCAAAAATACAAACGTTATAATAAAACTGTACAAGCTAGAAAACAAAACGTAATTAAAAATGTTTAATAAACGGCCAACTACACTCTAATTCACAGCCAAGACCTACACATATAATACTACAAGTATTTCCATAAAATTAAGTTATTCGAGAATAAAAGCTAAGTTTTAATTAAAAGCCAAATGATTTACAATAAAGAAAACATAAAGTAAACCGTGATCTGGTGGAGAAAGATTTAAAAATGTCAATTTTAAAAAAGGAAGAGATAGTTCTATTCAGAGCAGATTATTATAATTTGAGCATAAAACCTAAAAAGAATTCTGCACAGCATAATTAGTTGTACTAAGAAGTTGAGGAAAATAACTTTTTGTTAGTCTGCTGGAAATTAAGAAATAAAAACCACGATTAAAAAAGGTAGAGCAATTTATATCCCCGACAATCAATTTGTGGAGCCACATACAAGTAGAACCAAGAACTGTTCTACGGTTAGCCAGCGCTTACATTTAAACTGAATTTGTTTGCTATTTTAAATTGAGTTTTGTATCTATATTTCAGATCTTTATCCTGCACATTTTATCCTGTTCATGTCGCCCACAAAAGAATTATATGTTCTATTAAATGCAGGTCTATTTTAATCTTTACTTTCTTAGAAACATTTTCGGAACTCGACAGCAGTTTCTTCAAGTGTTGCCTACAAATTTGTTGAACAAATTTACATGACTCATGTGTTCTTGCTATATATCTAGATAGTACACACATATATATATATATATATAGATATATATATAGGGACGAATGTATTTACCTATCAATGCCCTAACGACCCTCACTTGAGCCATTGGGGGCGCGTACAAAAAATATATGAAAGACAACTCAGAAACATTTCAACACCTTGCCTGCTCGCTTTCCAAGTTTACGAAATACCCACCTTTTTGCTGTGAAATTTACAAATAGCCACAATGTAATTTTGAATGCAGGCAAGGTCAGGAAGTGTCGCCACCGACTTAATGTCGTCGGGGCCGCCACCGACGCCGCCGTCGATGCCACGTCAAGTTCAATAACCGACAAAAGATTTGCTTTATGTTTTTCTCTTTCGGTATAAAACATCATTTTAAATTAATGTCTTCAACTTGTTAATGCTGGTGCTACCGTGAGGCAAATATTTGCAACGTTGTTGCCGACTTTCTTCTTATTATAGTCGATATAAGTATATGGTTGTTTTTTTTTTTTAAATAATGTGCACAGCCTTCATTTGGCGGCTAGACTAACTGCAAAATGTGAATTCAATGCAGCGCCTTACGGCACATTATTGCGCAAAATTTACGAGCATATGTAAATGTGTGTATATATTTATACATATATGGACATCTGTACAGTACAGTCGCAATAAATAAGATCATTAAAAAAACAAAAATCGCAAAATTACAACTGAATGAGACTTTAATTAAATTTAGTTTATAAGTAGCCTGTAATAAATATTTTAAAATTTGTGAAAAAGCTGTTATTTCCATTAGGTTCCTTTACAGTACAGTCGCAATAAATAAGATCATTGAAAAACTGAATCAGACTTTAATTAAATCTAATTTATAAGTAGTCTATAAGAAATATTATCAAATTTGTTGAAAAGCTGTTGTTTCCATTAGGTTTCTTTTCCTAAAAAACAATGATTGCAAAATTTTCCTAGTTGAAACTTGGTTTTCATTTTTTTCTTGATAACTCACATATTCTTAACCGAAAAAACATATTTCCATATGAATTAGAATTAGACCCTATACAACTTTTTGTTTCAGATTAAAAATTGCAACCAAAACTTAAATATAATTGGAATGTATGTGCCATACATTTTTTGGGTCCGGATTACAGATTCTACAACATAAAGCAATAATGTGTCCGGATTCTCAAATTTTTCGTATTAGGCAATGTTTGAATTCATGATCATGAAATCATTTCCCTAGGATTTTATGAGTGGTCCGGGAATTTTTAACTTGGAACTGCCAGAGATGCCTATGAAATGTTTTTTACACGTTTTTGAAAGTTAAAGCTTTATTCCATTTAGCACGATTCAAAATAACATGTCTTTTTTAAACGACTTTTCTGGAACCAATCTACCGTGTAAAAACAGAATTAGGTGTACTCGTATGTACCGTCCAACCACCGGAATGTATTTTCACCTAAAAACAAAACAAATAACTGGGGAGCAAAGTATTTGTTCGCCTGGGTGGATGTCCACGGCTGGAGATTTCACTGTACAAGGAACATTTATCAATTTTTCATTGAGATGTTGCTGAAAGCGAGCAGCTTAGATGGCACACTTTCAAGCTTATCATCGTAAATGCTTTGGGTAAACAGTTTTCGAATGCATTTAGAATCGTAATTCAAGTCAAGTGTAAATAGAATATAGTCAGCGTCATTATCAGCATATGCATGCAGCCTGTGTTAACATATCTACATATATATAGGCACAGAATATACATATGTATGTATGTATGTATGTATAGTTTGTAAATGGCTAGTAATTACAATTGTTGCACTTTGAAGCAAGAGAAACTTAAACGCTTCTACATACAAGTATATACATACATATGTACATATGTATTTACAGGCAAAACAACGAAGATGAAGGAGAAGAATAAAACAAAGCCGTTGGCAAAACAAACATACAAACAAACATACGAAGGCTATAAGCGACGAGAGCTGGGGTTTCTTATGTTCGCTGATGCGGGCTTATTACGAGTTAGTTGTTGCTGTTGTTGTTTTGTTTTCTGATCCGCAAGTGGGTCAACTATCAAGTGAAAACCTAGAAACGCACATCCAACTCTACATGCACCTACATATGTACTATGTATATATACACATATATATGTATATATGAGTGTCTCTAAGCGCTTCTGAGTTCAAACGATTGCACACAGAATGAAAACAAAATAACAAGAATTGAAGCTCTGGATCAGCCTTGAACCAGAGCTAATATTGACGCTACTGTACACACTCATACTATATACATATATATGCACAAGTACATATACATATATTCGTTTGCTTGTGTGAGTCCAAAACATCTGGCGCGCATCCTGTAAGAGGAGCAAAAGTGATGCTGGCAAGTTGTTTGACAAGTACCTACAAAACAAAACAAAACAAGGGAACGGAGAATAACGGAGCAGCTGGAAAATTTTCTGAGTGGTGTGAAATGAAAGAACGCCAGACTCAAATTTCAATGTTAGGGATTTCAAAAGGGCGAATGTTTTGAATACACCTAATTCTGTTTTTACCCGGTAGATTGGTTCGTGAAAAAGTCGTGTAAAAAGGACATTTATCATATGCAAAAATAGGCAATCGCTTCCTTATCTCTAAAGAAATTTACGTGTTATATCAAAATCGTGTAAAAACAGAATTAGGTGTAATTGGTTCCTTATCTCTAAGACCTATTCAAATCAGTGAAAAAACAAGAATTATGTTTAGGATTAGTTCATAGCTATTTGTCAGCTGTGTCCGTTTTTATACCCTGTACCCGTAGGGTAAAAAGGGTATATTAGGTTTGTGCAAAGTATGTAACATACAGAAGGAAGCATCTCCGACCCCATAAAGTATATATATTCTTGATCAGCATGACGAAAGAAATCGATCTAGACATGTCCGTCCGTCTGTCCGTCCGTCTGTCCGTCCGTCTGGATGAACGCAAGGATCTCAGAAACTATAAAAGCTAAAATAACCAAAGTTGGCATCCAGATTCTCCTAGGTCCGAGTAAGGACGAGTTTATTTTTTTTTTTTTTAATTTTCCCCCCCTTCCCCCCCTACAGAATTTCGTCAATAGCGTCCACATTTCAAATGCTACCTAAACCAAACTTTGCACACATAATTTATATATAATTGTCTACTGTTGTATAAAATTTTATTCAATTCGGTCAATTCTAAGAAAGGTTATTAGCAAAACAAATTCTCGCCAGTACAACCCCCACAAACTGCAGCAACAAGTTCGCTCTTCTTCTTCCTCTTTTTGCTGCTGCTATGGGCGCATATAACTCAGTGACGGAAGTTTACCTGGGTACAGGGTATTACACTGTCGGGCTTGCTCGACTGTAGCGTTCTCTCTTGTTATTTATTTATTTTGTTTTATTTTTAATTCTGTTTCATGGAATAAAGTCGTGTAACCATATCTAAAATTTTTAATTTTCAAACCGTGTTAAATCAAAACCGTGTAAAAACAGAATTAGGTATACTTCTCACATGGATTTATATCCTGGAGAATTTCTGTTGGTAGGTCGGAACAGGTCCAGCACACAAAGAAAATATTATATTCCATTTATTAAGATTTTCTTTTTATGTTTGTTGGCTAATTGTAGCGCTCCTAGAAAAGCTCGTGTTAAGCGAAATCGTGTGAAACGAGACATGGACTCTACACAAAAATGTAAAAAAAAAGTTTTGCTGTTTAAATTTTCTCTGTTTTAAAGGTCCGCACATTTTCCAAATTAACAAAAAGTTACTCCAAGTATGGAATATTTATCACTAACAGATAACTCTGATTAAAATGGAAAATATTTTTAAGTGTACAAAATTTTAAAGCAGCTGAATACACAATTTAAGAACCATTTGGTCCCATCTATCTAATTAAATGCCATTTTAAGCATAAACAATTCAAGGCAATGGGAAATTTCTTTCCAATACTGATTACATCGATGGATGCAGTTTCGTTGTATCCGAAATCCTAATCGCGTAAAATACTTGCAATATGTTTGTATGTTTTGAAAGAGCCAACTTTTATTATAACATTCAGATTTAGCTAAAATTTATTGCAAGACCTGGGACATATTTCAACAAGAAAAGTGAGTTACAGTGAGTTTAAATATTTTCAGCTGAGGTTTTCGGCGCGTTAACAGAGAAAATGTAGCAAATTTTTAAGCGAAGGCTAGGTGTAGATTATAACTTGTGTTAAACGTTTAATCATGCTCAGCATTTATTCGTTAATTAGTAGTCAACTCTATCAGAGCATGAAGTAAAATAAATCAACTTCAAGTGCTTCTCAGAGATAAAGTATTCATTAACAAGTCGAGTACATTTAAATACAAGTTGGAATGCACTACACTCTGATAAGGCCGGCTTATCAACTGATCCAGACGTCAACAAGACTATCGCGGAGGAAGTTACGCTTAGATTATTTTTTATTGATTCTCCTCCGTTTGGGGGGGGGACTGGCGATGAATCACGTTTCGCCATTCGCCGGCTCAGTAAACTGAATAGGTGGTCGTAGTACGAACCGCCTGGGGCGCAAACGACACCCTCTTTTAAATCGATAGCCATGAATACAGCACGACACGCACGGAACTACAACAACAACAACAACAACTAGAGCTACAGCGTTTCGCACGTCGAATGACTGAATGCCCCCAAATCCCGCGACTGACACCCAGTTTCGTAATCGGCATGTACTCGACGTAGTATGTACTTGGATGTACGCCCCAGATGAAATGATTGCACTTGATACAAATGTTTGGAAGACGGGCGCACTGTCAATGGCGATATCGTAATGCCGCCGATATCCAAAATAGAATTTGCATTTTCCATTTATTTATAGTTGGCATACGCCCCAAAAACTTACCTAAGCAGCAAAGGCATAGGCACAGAACCCTAGCAGCAGCGACGACCGCATATTCAGTCTCAGTCGGTCCCTCACTCCGCACTTAATAGCTGCCTGGCTGGCTGGCTGTTGTTCCACAGCAATAGTCGCCGCTGTTTGTTCTCGCCTGAGAGAGGGGTGAGGCGCACAGGCTTAATCAAATTAATTAAAATGAATAGACACGCGCGCGTACACGCACATTCAGTTTGTTATTGTCGTAATTACACTTATTGGCTTTTGTTTCTGGTATTTAGCATAATTCTTTGGGAAGCACGCGCGCGCAATCTTCCTCTCGAAGAAAACCGAAGCCACTGCAAAACTTATGCTTCTTCTAGCTACTCACCAGTGTTGCTTGTTAATGGCGCTGCCAACTGCTTGCACATCGATTGTCTGTCTGCTTGAAACTAGTTCATCGATACGAACTCAAAGTTATCGAATAAATCGTTTGGTTAATTCCGACCGTTGAATTTAGAATTTGACATGTTTTAATATTTATCGGCTAGAATAGTTTAATTGGATGATGTGTTGAAATATAAGTAAATCGGTAGATGCATTTGAATTAATTTCAAACTCAAGTAGAGATTTTATTCCTTTAGCGAATATCATCTGCCATTTTTTTGTGACTATATTTGCTCTGATTAATATTTCTTCTTAATTAGAAACTACAACTAATAGTGAATTGTTAACCGGATATTAATTAAATTTTATAAAGATTTCAACAATTTGAAGGCCCTTCAAACACTTTTTATTTAGTCCTTAACAAAAACGATTAAAAACACGTAGTCGTTTAGCTTTTAGGTTAGTTTATTTTGTATGTATACTGTATAATTTGTGTTATAATGGATATTATACATAAATAAATTAAATTATGCTCTTTATTCACAAATATACTTTATATATGTGTGTAGGAATTTTTATATTTTTGGGCTTTATTGGTTTCCGCTGAGTCCCATTTTCGAAAACTCTATAAAATATATTTTTAAACTCAACATTTTACTCGATGCTCAAATGACAAATATTTTTGTTTTGCGCTTATTATTTTCAAGTAAATTTTTAATGATTTTTTGTTGAAAAAATCAAAAATACCTCTGTGTGGTTCGCTTAGCTCTGCAGTATCTGCATCAATAGAAATAATTATTGTTTTATGTTCTTGTTTTCTCTCGGTATTCATTTTATTTAAACTCCCAGTAATGTTTTCTTTGTGTTCATTTATTTATGTGTGAACATATGTATGTATGTACCATAATACGTATGTTTCGTCGAGTTTATTTACAGCTATAGCTTTAGGAATTGAATGCGCTCCATGGAAAAAGGATTCGAGCACTATTGAAGCATTCGATCTGATTTGATCTGATCTGTTCTGATCTGAGTGTGCAAACGAGAACTTTTTTCCTCCTCTTTTAGACTCAATTTTTACGATTTTACTAATCAATAATTACGGGTTTTTCTTTCATTTTGTACAATAGACGTGTGTGAGTGTGTGTGTGTGTGTTATCAGTCGTTTTCATTTAATTTACATGAATGTGCAGGAAATTATTGTTAATTCGTTTGTTTTCGTACTTGTAAATAAACATCCTTCTTGTCTCTTTTGTTTGTTTTGTTTTGTTTTTGACAAATTTCTTATGTTCCAATCTAATGTAAATGTATGTATATATAGTATATGTATGGTTTTTTTTTTTTGTTTTTTTTTTTTAATCAGAATTGTATTTCTAAATTGACACAGATAATATATGTAAGATCACAAAGCGTAGTATAATAAATAAAAGAGAATAAAAAAGAAGATTACAATACAATAGAGGACACATGTAGGTAATTAAGTTTTGGATTCGCTTTCATATATGTACTTGTATGTATGTTACAATAATTACACAAATATAAGTATACTTTTTTTATAATTATAATAATAATACAATACATAATATGTATGTCTCTATTATATACTTTGTTTGTTTAACGCCAATATGCAGACTTTAAAATATTTCCATAAATTGATTCTTGTTGCAGACACAAAAAGTAAATTGATATCAGGTTAATTTACAATAAGTCAATACATAAGTAAATATATGTCGTTAGTACATACATACATACATTTATACATATGTGTGTATATACATAGAATCGGGGGCTTTGATGTTGCAAAAGCAATTCAACATTCAAGTGCTTCCCGGTCAGAGAATAGGCATTCCGAACTTTGTTATACAAGTGCCATTCAGGTCTAAGTCGTTCGCAATAACTCTATGCATATAGCATGTATATGAGTGTGTGTATGTATGTAAGTATGTATGTATGTATATTGTTTGCTTCTGCTCGGGGCACTGGCACTGCGTTTGATTGACATGTTGTGGAAGCTGCTGAAGCGTCAATGTCTTGACTTTGTGCTTGCGCAATGACCCAGTTGCTTGGCTTGCGCAATGCTCGACAATACTCGGACTGCAATATATCGTATATGGTAAGTATATGGTATATAGAGAATATGGAGTATGGTACATTTTGTAGGTAGGTATTGCACAAAGTTGCATGCCGCACCTGGCTCGGATAGATTTACAAAGATATACATTACTTGTACATAATAATGCAACAGCGGGTGTTCAGAGAGGTGTTTTTTTTTTTTTTTTTTTTTGGTTCGGGGACTGAAATTAGAGCATGACTTACATCATTGCGATACGATACGATGCGATTACAATACATATGTATGTATGTAGTATGTAAGTAGTGGGTGTTATGCACGATACTGCTTATAGTTAAGGGAAGATAAAAGAGATGTGCACACTCAAGCAAGTTAACTCGTTTCTTGTTTGCACTCGAGAGCTTGGCGCCTGGGAATTAAATTCCATGGGCGTTTCATTTAGGATTTATTCTATACATATATGTAAGTATATTTGGTGTAATTGTGTCTCTGTGTGTCTTTGTGTATGTGTAAGTGTCTGTTGGCTGACAATGGATCAGTCAAACTATACCAATTGCCACAGCGCATGGCATGCCAGAAGATTAACACCGATGAGGGGAGAGAGAGTGTTGGAGGAAGATCGAAGAAACGAAATTCCATAGATCCGTTAGTCCCATATCCTTTCATTTACTTCTTGGTGTTCTTGCGCTTATTCTTCTCATCGCCCAGCAGATTAATATTCGGCTTGACCGTGCCCTTCTTCAGCGTTGCCGGCTGCTGGGGCGTGGCCTGCGTAATATTGTTGTTGCTGACCGTCAAATTGTTGGCCGGCGTGGCCGGTGTTTCGTCCAGGAAGAGCGGATTCTTCACCTCCATTTCGCCGGTGGGCGCCAGCCCGGGGCATTCGTAGACCGTGTAGTCACCCTCCTCATTATCATCGTCGCTCTCCACATCGGACAGTCCACAGCTGCCGTCCACGGCCTGACAGTTCTCCATGGCTATTATCTGCTGCTTCTGATGCTGGTAATGGTACATCTGCGCGCTCTGGGCCAGCTTGCGATCGCCCGAGGGTGAGACGTCCTTGTTGGGCCCGGTGATGCCGTAGGCAGGATAGTCCACATCTGCGGTGGCTTTGGTGCGATTGTGGAACCTGCAAATATTCCAAATTCAAGTTTTGTGGTGGTTAGTTGAGAGAAAAATAAATCATTTGTCCTACAATAGTGTTATATTAGTTTTGATAGCCATTTTAGGAACATAAAAGGAATGCTAGAGTCGAGCGAGATCAACTTTTAAATACCCTGTACCCACCATAAAAAAAATAAAGAAAAAACTATAAGCCAATTATTTTAAATAATTTTGTATTTAAAAAAAAAACTAAATTAATTTATTAAATGCAATATAAAATATCAGGGAACGCAATTAATGTGTAATATGTTTTTTATTCACCTCTAGCAATATTTATTTTATAGAATTATCTATCAATTTTCAAAGTTTAATGATTAATTTTGAGTTTTTCTTTACAACTTCATCAATAATCATTGTTTTTGATCAAATAAAAATAATAATTATTCTTTGAGTTTTATTTATTATTATTTTTTTTTTTTTATCAAAAATAAAACTCAAGCTGTAATTTTTTTTAGCTCAAAACTGTACTTTAGGGGTTTGTCTTTGCTTATTGTATAAAAATATATAAATTTTGTTTTTATTCCCAATGGAAAAGACAGAAACAATACCAATTTGAGGTTTATTTCTTATTAAAAAAAATCAATAATATTTAAGGAATAATGCCTAATTAACAAATTTTATTTTTTGATAAAAAAGTATTGATTATTAGTTAAGTTGAAAAGTAAAACTCACAATTAATCAGTATATTGTAACGGAATGAATGAAATTAAAAAATAAACATTATTTTATAATTTTTATAATAACACGTATGTTGATTACAGTCCCTGCAAAATGTTCACTGCATACATACAGAGGTGGAGACATATGTTTATGTACAGTTTCAACAGCATTTCCATCAGAATCGTGTCTCTCCATGTTTATATGCGTGTATGTATACAGTACAGAAATCAGTGAAAGTGCAATGATTACATCTATGGCTATAACTTTCTTCATAATTGACCTATCATGATGAAACATATGGCATGTGAGTTAAAAATTCCAATTATAGCAGTTATGGATAATCATCAATAGTCGGAAAGTGGGGGGTGTATCAGAAAAAAACACACAAACTCGTACTTTCTCGCACTTAGGAGAATCTGGATACCAAATTTGGTTATTCTAGCTCCTATACTTTCTGAAATTCTTGCGTTCATACAGACAGACAAACTGATGATCAAAAATATATATGCTTTGACACGCCTCCTGCTGTGTGTTGCATACATTCGCACAAAACTATGATAAGCTTTTACCCTTTGGAGTACAATGTATACAAATAACGTAAATAAAGGCTTCAAATAATTTTTTTTCGGATTCCTATCCTCTTTTTGGAGTGTGAGCAACCGATGACAGGTATTTAAGCTTGCAAGCAACAGAATCTAAAGTGCTGAGAAAATTGTTGAAATAATTGTACTTACCAGGTAACGCCTAGGGCTATGAGTCCCACAGTAACGGCCGCACTAACGCCCGCTATTAACGCCACAATATAGACGCCAAACTCGCTGTTCATGCCGAGATGCTGACGCAGGACAAATTGCTCATTGGGTTCCGGTTGGCCCACGCTACTCACGCTGTTCATCGCGGATATCGGTGTCTTGCTTTGCTTCTGCAGCTTGTCAATTAGAGCGCTAATCTCATGCTGTGCATCCTTGGGCTGGGCCAGATTGACGCCAGCGACAGCAGCGGCCGCCGCCGTTTGGGGCTTAATGCGGTGAAAATTTGCGGCTGTGCCGTCCAGTAGTTTGGGGGTCTCCACGGGAGCCGGGGCCAGAACCGGGGTGATCAATTTGCTTGGAATCTGTTTGCTACTGGCCGTCGGCTCCACCGAGCTGGCTATTCCTGCGCCTCCTCCAGCTCCTCCTCCTGCTCCTGCTGCTGCCGCTGCTGCTACTCCCATAGCTGCTCTTGCTGGAGCGGACTCTACCGGGGCATACTCCTCGTAGTCGTCGAGGGCTCGGGAATCAAGCTCGGCGGACGGATCGCTGGCATTATCGAAGAAGCGTGCATCATTGGGACCCACGGCGAACGGAATGCGCTCCCGCAGAATACTGTTTCGATTGAAGCTCAATCCTGGGCTATAGCTTGAAGGATGTGCGTCAAACTCTGCATCTAGCGGGCTGCCGTAGGCAGCATCGGCCTCAGCATTGTCATACTGGTCGTACTGCTGATTGTTCAGATTATTGTTATAGTCATCTTCCGATTCGGCCAGCATCTGCAGTTCCTGTTGCCGTTGGCGGTATCGCTCGCGCTCCAGCAGCTGGCGCTGACGCCGCAGCTTTAGTCGGATCAGTTCCAACTGCTGTCCGAACTGCTGGTTGAGCCGGCGACGAGCATTATCCTCCATTAGCTGGGCCAAGAAGTCCGAGTGCAGCTCGTACTGCGGCTCAAGCTGTTGCTGAGTGGGTCGGCGACGTAGTCCTGACATAAAAAAGATAGTGTGTAATTGATTAAGTGCCTCAAACTATAGTTTCGTATAATGTGTGGAGTTGTGTGTTTTGTTTTGTGGCTGGACTCGACTGATGGCGTGGACGTGCGTGCGGCTCATTATGCTAATAACGGCTATCCAATCTAATGGCAACAAACCTATAAGACGCCTGGCGTGCGTGTCCTCAATAGTCAGCAGTCAAAAATAGGCATCGACCAAAATAGCAGCCATGTTCGTGTCGAAAGGTGAAGCTAATTAACGGCAAAGGATTGAGTGAGCCAGCCAGCCAGTCAGTCAGTCAGTCAGTTCGTTGCCACTGAGGAACGAATCGAAATGCCATTGGAAAATCGTGCGCCTTCGGAGTGGCACATTAAAGGCTACAGGACATTAACAGCAACGAAAATAGACAAACAAAAGCCCATTTAATTGCCAAGTTTTAAAAATAGAACAATTACATATCTTATGGCCTGAAGGCGAACGCGCCTAAATCGGTGGCCGCAATGACGACGGCACATTAGGCCACAAACACATGCACACGTTCTCACCACACCAATCACGCAACCCACGCACAGTGGGCCCAGCACTATTTAAAACTAGAACAATTTGTAAAAGAAATCAAATAGTTTTCTCCTTGGAAAATATTGTCGCATGCATTATGAAACTTTACAAAATTTTCTCATTTATTTCGGCTGGACTTTAGCTGCACTGAAGTCTAAAGAAATTGTAGGTATATCTCTATTAATTGTGGAAAGCTAACCGGTAGAAATTTAAATTTAATCAATAAGTCAAACACATAATTGAAAATCAGCCCAAAATTAGATAAACAATCAATTTCAAAATTCTAGTCAAGGCTGCAGATGTTTTAAACGATTTTGCCGGTTCTGTGTTTCTTTCGCTTAAGGTTTTTTATTTAAAGAGAAACCTTCCATTACATTTGGAATATTGCAGAATTATGAAAATATGCAGAATTATCTGTAAAATAATGCTGTTGTTCCTTATATAAATAATATTCTGATAATAATGAAGGCATACATTTCAATTCTTGAAAAGATTATAATTTTCATATAGGAAGGGCAACTTCAGAATTAAATGCCTCTATACTTAAATTGTCTTCAAACTAATTCCGGAAGTCTTTCGCTATACACGCATGGAATAAGAGTGAACCAGAAAAGCTAATACAATCATAATACGGAAGAAAAAATGTGTAAATATCAATATTTTCCTTAGATTATAATTTTCATGTAGAAAAGGAAACTTCAGAATTAAAAGCCTCTATATTTAAATTGCACCCAAACTAAATCAGGAAGTCTTTCGAAACACACGCATGGAATAATAGTGAACTTGAAAAGTTAATATTATTATAATTTTCATGTAGAAAAGGAAACTATTAACGTCCTCAGAAATAAATGCCTCTATACTTAAATTGTCTTCAAAGTAAACCAGGAAGTATTTCGCTATACACGCATGGAATAAGAGTGAACCAGAAAAGTTAATACAGTCATAATACGCAGAAAAAATGTGTAAATATCAATATTTTCCTTAGATTATAATTTTCATGTAGAAAAGGAAACTTCAGAATTAAATGCCTATATATTTAAATTGCACCCAAACTAAATCAGGAAGTCTTTCGAAACACACGCATGGAATAAGAGTGAACTTGAAAAGTTAATATTATTATAATTTTCATGTAGAAAAGGAAACTATTAACGTCCTCAGAAATAAATGCCTCTATACTTAAATTGTCTTCAAAGTAAACCAGGAAGTATTTCGCTATACACGCATGGAATAAGAGTGAACTTGAAAAGTTAATACAATCATAATACGGAAGAAAAAATGTGTAAATATCAATATTTTCCTTAGATTATAATTTTCATGTAGAAAAGGAAACTTCAGAATTAAAAGCCTCTATATTTAAATTGCACCCAAACTAAATCAGGAAGTCCTTCGAAACACACGCATCGAATATGAGTGAAATAATTCAGATTATGGCTTATTCCAATCGACTGTGCGCTCCTTGTTGTTTTAGTGGCTCGCGGGGCGATGTGCGCCATGGTTGTGACGTGCTTTGAAAACTTTATTACATTTGCGTCGGCTTGTGTACTTGTATGTATGTATGTACTATATAGGAGAGTGTGTGTGTGTGTGTGTGTTTGTGGGAGTGGGTGCGCACAAAAGTAGGCTATAAAAAGTACTTCGAGTTGCTGGTAGCTACTAGCTAGTATAAGTTTAGCAATTGCACCAAGCGGCAACCAACTAACTATGTATGTATGTATGTGCGTAAATATAACAAACCTCCGCCCTCAAATACACCTGCCTTATATATATATATATATATATATATATATATATATATATATATATATATATATATATATATATATATATATATATATATATAAATATGTACAGTATGTACATATGTATGCCGCTGCATTTTGCTTCGGTGTAGGTTTATATAAAGGCTGAGGCAGCCGAAGTCGGAGTGCGCGTGGGTGTTTTGGTTTGATTCGTGAATTCTTGATACTCGATAGATAGATACTATGTAAATGGTAGTGGTATACACAAAACGAAGTGCCACTTGGCCAGCTCGTTTTGCTGTTCGTGAAGCGTTAAGCCATTCAAGCCTAAGGCGCAAAAAAAAAACAAGCAAGCAATCAAGAAAAATAAACGCAATCATTTCCCACGGAAACGGTCAATGCAAAGACGTAGAATGAAAACTATGTATGTATGTATGTATGTGTGTGTGTGTGTGTGTGTGTGTATGCACGTATATTGAAGGATGTACGTGTGTGTGTGTGTGGCCAAGTGGTGTTCTATTTTTAGCCTACCTGGGTAAACGGACATTTCACAATGACCCAATATGCTGCAGAGAACGACTGCAATTAACGAACAGGAAATTTCCTTTTGCATAGCCATATTGCACTTTTCACTTAATTGTAGCCTCCTAGTCCTTGTTGTTGTTACAGATTTAATTAAAGATCTTCCAGTGAGAAATGTCAATTCGATTGCACTTTGACCGTTTAATTCTAAGAAATTTGCTAACAATGCACCAACACACTTGCCATATGGCCGGTTAATGTACGGTGTACGTCGCTGCTGGCAAATGCCCTTTCAACAGACGACGACGACGACGACGTCGAATTAGTTTATTGATTTTCACGCACACCACCGCGCATAAGCACACACTCACACACACACACACACAGTTAACTACACAATGGCGAGCAAAAATCAGGCAGCTGGTGGTTGCTACGAAGTCTTCGTTTTCTGTGCACTGCCGCAAAAATTTGCGTGGGCGTGCAATATTTTTTGCAATATCCGTTCTGTTACTCAATATTACGGCTTGTTTGTGCAATTATCGATTTGTTTATTGAATTCTGCATATGGTACGGTTATCGCGAGTATCTAATGTTGTAATTTTCTTTCAGCAGAGCAGGATATGAAAATGAACTTCAGTGCTTCGCTTCGCTACAAGGGGACCGCAGCGAGTTCCCGTTACATACGTTGCGTTACAGCCGACGAATACCGTTTCACTGACTGGTGGACTCTGAAGCCTGGCGTTGTTGCTGCTGCTGCTGCTGCTGTGCTGCTGCCACGACATCGGCAGAAGCAGCAACAGAGCAGGCTGTGACGCAAATGTTATGCCCGCCCCCGCACTGTTAAATGTTGCGGACAGCTTTTGGGTATCCATCTTGAAACCAACAACAATGTGGCAAGACGCATGCGCCTAGCAGTGAAAAGCTTTGCTAGTTCCAAGTGGGAAGTATAACTGTATGTGTTAAAAGTATCTTTGAATCAACGCGTGCATTCATGAAAAAGCCGAAGCTCCTTGCTTCGCTACTAGGCAGCTAGCAGGTGGCTGTAGCAAAAAACTCACACACACACACACACACACACGTATGTAGATGTACACGCCACCCCAGCTCCAGGCAGTCGGTTGTTGTTGCTGTACTATTTTAACGCGAATGCAGAGCCCGCGTCGCCGTTCATACCGCACGGTGAACCATTTTTGTTTTGGGATAGGGCACATTTTATTTTTATCAATGAAATTTCAGCTGGAAAGCTCATGCGCGCACTTCATTGAACTTTTTGAATTGCTACTGGTATGCAGATCGACGTGTGCTGATAGGCGGAGTGAGAAGGCAACTCTATATTTATGTACAAATGTATGTATGAAACGACCATAGGGAATTGCCATTAAAACCATAGCTTATAAAAATCATTTTAAAAATATATACACACATATTAAGTTCATATTTTCGTATAAGGATTCTTGCAATTGATTTATACTTTCAACCGATTTGGGAAACTAAATAATTTTTCCAAAATACAGTCACCATATTTTTAAAAAAGAAATCAACCCAAATGCTGAATTAAATATTATTACATATGTACATACAGAAAATAATTTGGCCACCTTATAGTTTTGCTTTACTTAGCAACCAAAATATATTTCAGTGTACTTTTTGTACATAAGAGATAATATAATTTTATGCAATCTTATATGTACTATATTTATAAATATAAAATATGTAATTGTTTCCAGCTCACACTACTCTCATTTTGTACAAAAAGCTTTTTATGGGGGGCTGGGTGAAAAGCAGTATATTAAGCTTTAGGAAGCCCGCTTTTGAAGCCGCAAAGTAACTGTAATATTTCTTTAAGCTTTTAAAGGAAAACGGTCGGCCTACAACATATTGATAACATGTTCTGTTAATTAGCAGTGTTAATAGAGCCAGAGGAAACTAGTTCTGTTCACAAATCCACAGCTCGTTGTTGTTTCTGAGTCATTATTTCTGGCAAGCAACAAAGGAAAAATCATAAACAAATAAAATGGCCGCATTAAAAGGTAATTTTTAGTTACTGCAAATACAAATAAATACTAACTATTTTCTCACCTATGTTTGGATCAACAAAAACATCGTCTTATCAAATGCCTGGTCGCTGTTTCCATCGCTTGCTCCTGTAGCGTAAGTTCGTAGAAGTCACAACCATCAGAAGCAACTTAACAATCTTTATTTCTTTCAGCCTTATTATTAGTGCGTTTCTCACATGTTTGGGAATGACCTTTTTGATATTAGCCTGCGCAGTTCCCACACCAAAGTTGTTCTGGCCTTTTTTCGTACTCCTTTTCTACGTGCTGTCGGTGCTACCAGTAATCATTGCGAATCGCACCACACCGGGTAATGAAACAAATCCGAAAACGGAATTCGCCTTATTTTTGACCGCTGGCATGGTTTTAAGTGCCTTTGCTTTGCCTATTGTATTGGCGCACGCCAATGTGGTAAGTGCGGGGAATGGATTGCAGTGTTTCATAGTTTCAAACTAAACTCAAATTGATATTTTTTATTTGTAGATTACTTGGATGGCTTGCACATTTACGCTAATTGGCAACGTTATTAACTATGCTACAATGTTCGGGTATGCTATGCGAGACGAAGGCTTCGATGCGCCTTATGGGGGCATGTTTTAAGTGCGACTGGACAAAGGCCAACAGAAGTGAGGCATTTTAATTTTAGTAGTGTAGTCCTTCGTGCATTTAATTGCACGTCATCGAGGCTACAGTTAATCTCAAATCATGTATTCGACATTAAAATATACAAATATGCATATGTACAACGGAAAATAATAAAAATACGCCATGAAAATAGATAAAGTGCAAGAATAGTAGTATGTATGTATGTACTAAGAAAGGCCGACTCTGCTGAATAACAGCTGATTAAGATTCGAGTGAACTGGTTCTAGGAGACGAGCAATACCAGTTCGATTACGATAACAAAATGTCAATTGCATTTTTTTTTTCTGCGCGATGCGCACTGTTTTTTGTTTAAATATTTTTCCACAGCCGCGGCCTTAATAATGAGTTTGGTTACCAAAAACGTTTTTTATAAGAGTGAAGACGAAACACAAAGTAAGTTGCCGAGAAAATCGGTCCAGGAGCAGCAGCCGGAAGATGAGAACGTCGAAGGATCAGAGGACGAGAACACTTTGATATTTGAGGAAAGCGATGATGATGAGAGAGATACTGAAGATAAGAATGAAAGCGAAGATGATAGGGACGAGGGCAAGATTGGGGAAAGTCAGCTTGAAGCTGAACATTCGCAACCTTTAAGTGTTCGCTCCACGACGTCCGATGCAAATGGACAGCCGCCGAAGAAGTATGCTTTCAAACTAAAGCAAACGGAGAGCGGGTAAATGGCACTTCATATTCCCATAAGAAGTTGGATTATTTTTGCTTTCGTCTTAGGAACATACTTACAGTGCACCATACAGTGCAGGAGTCTGGAAAAACACAGCGCATTCGCATTGCTGCCGCCTGCTTTAATGAGTTCAGCAATCAACTCATTGTGATAGACAAGAGGTGAGTGCTCCAATTGGCCTAAGTTCCAATATATTCATATATTCATGTTTTAGGGGCAACGTATTCGTATTTGACTTCGTTTGCAAACGCTACTGGCATCTCAATTTCCGCATTCCCAAAGTATGCCTTCTGCTCCCATCGCCGCTTCATAAAAGCGATTACATTGTGGGCAATAAACTGGGCCAAATTTTAACCGTGGACGTGAACAGTTCCCTGTTAGTAAACCTAAACAATATTGGCACTAGCGCAATAGATGAGCTTTCCTTTGGTACACGGATTCAGAGCTCAAAAGCTTCCAACTCATTGCTACGTTTCGGTCACGAGGCTATGCTGTTCAATCTGCAAACGTTGAATGTGTCTCATCAGCTAGAATTCAATCAGTCGCGGTACACCTTAAAACTAGCCGGTTATCTGCCTAATTCGGATCAATTCTTTACGTGCTTCACCAACGACTCGGTGCACATTTGGTCGACGGTCTCCCTCAACACGCTACAAATTGCACACCCTATAAAGATGCGAAATCGCAAGCTGCGTTTGCTGCCCACAAGCGAGAGTATACCGGAGTTTGCTTTACGCCCCCCCAATGACAGTGATGTGGAGGATGAATTAACGTTCAGCTGCCAGGATCAAGACTATGCGGATGGCTATTTGCTGAGCTATTGCTTTACGCCTGATGGCAATAAGTTTGGGCTTAGCACATTGGATGGTTATTTGCTAGTGTTAAGTACCGTCACCTTCGACCTGGATAAGTTGTATCGCCTGCGTGACTTCATTTTGAAACAGTTCGTCTTTCTGCCGCTGCCAAAAGAACGCATTTTGTTTGGCATTACAGCCCGCAGTCAAGCAATTATGTTAGATTTGGCACATACAGAGTTCAAGTTGTTTGTGCAGAGTGAGAATGCCGAGAGCTTGTGCCTCAGTCGCGATGGCAAGCTTCTTAGCGTGCTCTCCAGATGCGGCGAGGTGAATATCTGGTCGACCTGTCGCCTCTACAACACGTTGCATGCCCAGACAAATTGCCTCAAGGTGTTGCACTCAGCCTTTCAGCAGAAAAAACCGCTACCCGCTTGCAATGTTAGTGGGTGCATGCACCAGGAGATACGCAAACTCCTAAAGAGGGATCGTTTGAGTGCCATTTTGCACGAGTACGGCTGCTATCCGGAAAAGTATCGCTTCCTCATTTGGACCACGTTGCTGGAGTTGCCGTGCAATGGACGGGATTTCCAGCAGCTGCTCAAGTTGGGTGTACCACCAATTATAAAGAACCGGGCTCAAGATCTTAAGATACGCAGCGATTCCTTGAAACGTGCCGTCGTGAAGGTCTGGTCTTGTCTCGCACAGTGGTGCAAAGTCTTTGCTTATGCAGACTTTATGCCCAATCTAATATTCCCCTTCGTTAAGCAGCTGCCCAAAAATGGACTAGTGGCTTTTGAGCTGCTCGTCACGCTGCTGCTGAATCATTTCGAGTTGTGGTTCGAGTTTCATCCAATGCCACCGGCCAATTATTTAGCCATGTGCGAAAATCTTTTGCAACGACAGGATGAGCAGCTCTGCAAATTCTATAAGGCACTGCAGCTGCAGCCCAAGGACTATATTTGGTCGTTGCTATCGAACGCCTTTTCCGAGGTTCTGGACGAGCAGCAGTGGCTGGCTATGTGGGATAACGTCTTTACAGAGCCCCCCTATTTCCTTATCTTCCTCGCCGTGGCCTACAATCTCATTAACCGCGAGGTGCTACTCCGTCTGCCGGACAAATCTGCCGTCCAATGGTTTTTCCATGAACAGAATCCCATCGAGGTGCTAAAGCTGATCGCCAAGGCGCGCAAGTTAATGGACAACTGTCAGCCAGACCTGCATCCCAAGCGCTTCATTCAGAATCTCACGCCATTGCCCAAGGAAGCCTATCCGAAATTTCTTAGATATCCCAGCGAGTGTATTACCCAACATGAGGAGCACTCGGTAATGCAGGCGCAGCTGCATCAGGACATCGATGCGCGCATACGTCATCTAGAACTGGAGGAGTCTAAGGTCATGGAGCGCCTTCACAAGGGTCTGCAGCAAGAGGAGCACACGCGCCGCATCAAGGAGATGGAGAAATTGTACGAGGAAACGCTGCAGCGCGAGGAAGAGCGTCTGCTATGTCAACGCAAAATGTTGCTCCTCTACCAGAAGGAGGTGCGTCAGCGCAAAAGCGAGGTCCTTACACAGTTACAGGAATCCGAGCAGCGACGCAAAGCCCTTGAGATGGAGAAGGAAATCGACGCGTTAATGCGCAGCATTGAGCGTGAACGACGTCGTCAGAATCAGGAAATGCTTCTCGCCGAGGATGAAATACGCAACGAGGAAATGGAAATACTGGCTCAGCGTTACTTCTCGCAGACCTCGACCGCGCCCCTAGCCCAGAAATACTACGACAATATTCAAAAGCTGTGCAGAGAGCGCGATCATCTGCAAAAGAACCTAAGGGAGGTGCGTATGAAAAGGATTTCAATGACACATTCATTTAAAACTTGTTTTTACAGATGACCATGAACCAGCTAGACCGATCTTCTCGAACATGCCCAGAAACGTCACCGGAGCTAATGGAAATCGAGCGTTCTATTTTGGAAATACAGCGGGAGTTCTGCGAGGTCCTGAACAGTGAGAGGCGTGAATAGTTGATCAGAAAAACAAAAGCACCTTATGTACAAATTATAGTCTAAGCTAGATAATATCTTTTGTCATAGAGAACCTTTTGTTAGTGTACTATAACTATAAATTTAGATAAATACATAAATGTGCATTAATATTATTATCATTTTTTGTAGCTAGGATAAGAGGGGGAAACCCGTAAGGCTTGTAGTTGTACATGTTAGATTAATCTTATATCAAGGTCTTATATAAAGGAAATATGAAAATACAGATTTGTTAAAATTGTAACATGACTAAGTAAACTAAAAAGCGGGTGGGCTTTAAAAATATATTTAACATATCACATATCGATCTATGAGCTGGAGGCACCACAAGGGTTTTCTATCAATCTATGGTTCTGCTGGGGCTGGGTCTCCGGTTGCTGCTGCACACTAGAAGACACTACCATTTTAGGCACATTGATTACTAGATGAATGCTGGACGGCGGTATTTGAATCTGATGGGGCACAACTGCAAGAAAGAGGAAGAGAATGCAATGATTTAACTCAACCGGAAGCGTATTTTCCACCTACCGCCTGTATTGCACTTGTTGCTGTTGTTGTTAATGCTATTCTTTAATGCCTGTTCCAACTCGGCAATTCGCTCCCGCAGCTTGCGGTTCTCCACTCTTAATTGGGCGTGTTCATTGCGCATTTTGTTACGATACCTGGAGGCAGCCGCTCGTCGCCGTTCCATGCAATCCTCGGTGCGTGTGGGGGCTCCTTTGGATTTGGGAAGCTTTGTCTTGGCTGCCACGTAAGTGCTCTCCCTATTCCTATTGCTGTTGCTATTCAGGATTGCCTTGAGCCGCTCCTTGATGGGCAGCTGTGAGGTGGGCGTCAGACTGGCGCTGCTGGGCTCATGAGGCTGCGGTGTGCTGGGCACGAAAATAGCTGGCAGGGGTTTGCTGGCTGTCGTCGGCACAGCGGCGCTAGTTGTCAGTGGCGTTGTGATGCCTTTGGGCTTCGGCAATATGAAAGGACGCACTGTTTGTATTGGTATGGCACTGGTCAAGGTTTTGTTCATTCTGGCTGGGGTGGGCTCCACAGTAACTGCGGTGGCGGACACAGCCTGTGCAGGCAGCACCCAAGTGATCATTTGTGGCTGGAACAACTGCAAGGGTGCAGCCTGCTGGATTGTCTGGCCGGCTGCTGTGATGTGGGGGGACGCATCCAAACTGGCAGCCTCTGTTCTTGTTGCTTGCGTTGTGGCGAGCAGAGCCTCTACATTGGGCACGTCGAGTGGACTATTGGCGTCCGTTTTCGCCTGGTTCTCATTGTCGAGCGGATACACCTGAGGCGTGTGCAGGTCGCCATCTGTGGTAGTGGGCGTTGCTGGTACTGTGGCAACTGAGCTTGCTCCGTTCTGCTCCACAGCACGCTGGAAGCCTATGTCGAATGGATTCACGTGACGCAGGTCTTCGAAAAGGCCCACTTCATCACAGTTTTTGATAAGGCGCGTCGGCGTGGGCGTTTGGTCCGTAGCGAAAATGTTCTCCGACTTCTGGCCCAGGGACAGGTCCAGGGTTATATCATGATCATGTTTCGGCTGGCCATAGTTTTCGTAGTTGCTGAAGTAGCAGGCATCGCTGGATGTGCCCAGTTCATTGCTTTTGGAACCGCAATTGTTTTCCTGGCTGCTTTTCGTCTCGAAATCCGGGAAGGAGACGCTGGTTAGGTCCGAAATGTGGGCCTCAGTGTCCATGGCACGGCGCTGGCGGTCAACGCAATATACAGACGGTTAAGTATCGAGAGAAACGAATTTAACTTTCAAGTTCTCAAAACAATAACAAAGAACAATTTTTGTTGGTTACGTCGACGAGTAGATACACTTTAGAGCTCGTTTTTTATAACAATATTGTCAGCATATGCATACCATTATTAGTAGACCCATAACTTTTTATTGTAATGGTCTATAGTTAATTAGTGTTAATTATTAACAAAAATTCGATAACACAAAATTACATATGGATTTGTAAAACAATAACACAAAAATAGCAAAAGTTGAATTAGTTGCAGAAGGAATCATTAGATGCAATAATAGATGTACATACTTGCATAATATATAAATAACAAAAAACTTGTATTAAGTTAGTTTAGTATTAAGTTAGGTTAAGGTCATTTAGGGATTTTTTTGTATAATTTTTCTCGCTTTACACTTTCAATTGTTGTTTCACTTTTTATGTGTCTCATTTTGCTCAATTAAGTAGAAAAGGCTAAGCTGTCTGTGCTCTTAACACTACTATATCTTTATCTTACTTATAAATTCATAATATTGAAAAAATTTAAAATAACATAATAGTTCATATTTGGAATGGAAAACATCTTTATCCACATTCGTTAATTTTGTACAAAAGTCAAAATGCCAAAAAAATAATTTTGTGACTTGCATCTAAATTGGCCTTCAAAATATTTTTATATATTGTATGTTGGTCCATTTTTTCGTCCCCAGCTTCCCCTGTGCATCTTCCAACCACTATCTCTACCATGGTTAACGGTGGGAATATGTTTTTTTTTTCGCTTTCCTGAGTTTATTCGACTTTCGCCAGACTTTTACAGTGCCATCGTATCCAAAAATAGAATATGTATTTGCATTCTTCACTAAAAAAGACTTCTCTCAAAATATTTTTGAAATTAAGTATATTAAGAGTATTAAAATGGGTTCAAAAATGTATATATGCGGGCATTTAGTGGTAATCGTTTTACTCAAACTCAAACATTGTGTTGTTTTGATTTCCTATAAGTATAAAGATTTATTGTCTTCTTTTATATGATATACATATGAAATGGACATATTTAAGAAACCGCGCTTATACAAGTGCTTCTCAATTTTCCCATAAGTTACGTACAGCATGGCAGTTTAGGCATACTGTGAAATCAAAAGGTATACTATTGGCTTATTTAAGCATTGCATTATGGGTGTTACCTTATTGTTGAAATCTGGTCTCTCTATATGACGTTCAAGTTGGCAGCGCACCAACGGGAATGGAACTGCCAACCTGTTGTCGAGCGCTTATAAGAACTGATACGTTTTAAATTTAAAAATATGAACACACAATTTTGGACATTAATTATAGTAATAAATATTATACATGCAGCAAAAGATGACTCTAATTGTATGTTTACCACAAACAAGTCCTTTAAAGCACATTGTTCAGATATTTTGTGATATGACCACAAAAAGAAGAAGAAATACTTTGACATTCAGGGCTTCCTCTAATAAACTGTGTATCGATCGTCTGACATCTTAAACGCAAGGGACGAGTTTCTCACGGCACGTAGGCGCAATCACGCAAAAAAAAAAAAAACAAGGCCCAAACATTTTTGGCAATAAAGAAAACCCCATAATTTGAAATATCTTTTAAATTAGATTGCAGGAAACAAAAAGAAACACGCAAAATGTAGACAACTTGTTTTTCGAAACATGCACGCAAGCAATTTTCTAAAACTTTTGCATGTAAACATGTATGGTATGTATGTATGTATGTATGTATTTCTCGCAATAGGCCCAGTCAGTCAAACTTGTCTTGTGGGTCAAGTTCAGTGTCCAAATCCTCGGCAACGTCTCATCGCAGCACGCAGACAAGATGGTGGCCAAGCCATCGCCCCACCAACATTGGCAACAGCGGCAGAGCCAGTCAAGGAAGATGCACAGCATGAAAATTAAGAAAAAGTGATGCGTAATTACAGTCATTCTCTTTCACTGCAGCGGTCGATTCGGTACCGAAGACCCGACCGACCCGATCTGGACAGGCTGGACCAGTCAAGAGTGTTGCATGCAACAGACGCGGTTTTTGGACGGCAGTGGCCGCCAATGCTGCTGCTGCTGCTGCTGCTGCTGCGGGTAGAAACAATCAGTTTGAAGTTCGTTCGCATAATTATGGGCAATTTTCAAAGAACATGCGTTCCGATGAACATCTCTCTCTCTTTGTTGTGCTCTGCTCGCATTCAAAGTACGAGTATTGTCGGCTCATCAGCCGTCGCATCAGTCGCAACAGCATCCGCGCCATTTTTGTGGTTATATGGGATGTCCAGGCTGGGAGCATGTGTAACCTCATGCACATCCACATCCACTTCCATAGGATACGTTTCAGTTTTGCATTTGTTTCGCAACATTTGCAAATTACAGGTTGTAGCCATCACGAGCAGGATGTGCTTGTAGTATCATATCAAAATTTCTACATACATATGTACATACATACTCTTATGTATATGTATGTATGTTTATATTGCGGGCTATTTAGTTGGTGTAAAATATATAAAATACAACTTATTTACGAAAACACAACTCATGTATGCACAACCCCGTTAATATGTTGCTTGCCTTGGCGCCCCTGTCGCGCTGCACTTAAATAACTCATAACGGCATATGCAATGTGCCAGCTCTGGAAACGAAGGGTGCTGGCAAGTTACTAAAAAAAAATTTCATAAATATTCAAAATGCACAAACGGACAAGCTGCATCCTGTGCGTACTTTGTCTTATTTTGCGCCGTTCTCCTCAAGAAATTCCTAGAACGCCCAACATTTGTTTTCCGCTCAGTCTTTCGACGTTTTGTTTGCTTTGCCTAGCGGGCTTTTTGCATAAATTCGGCTGTTTTCATGGTAGATGGATAGGTAGGGGAAAAGGTAAATGACCAAACCACAATGTGTAACAATGCAGACGAAGATAAAGCTACTTGTACTACTACAACAAACGATAAGCAGCTATCTGTTAATCGGCTTGATAGTTCCTTGATATGATTAAAACGCAAATTGAATTCGTAGTTTAGGGTAATAAATATTCCTCAATCCAAAATTATACGTTTTTCTATAAATAAACTTACTTCTAAGAGAGCTATATTGGAATTATATGCCTTAGTCTGAATATAGTGTATAGGTTAAGCATATTTATCTTGTGCTGAACGGTGTTATACATATTTTATAATAAAGTATTTAACAAATGTTATAATAACGATCAGTACACACATGCATATTATAATCGATGTTTTAAAAAATTAACTTTCCATAGAAAAAAAGCTAATAGTAGGGAGAAAATCAAAAAAGATTTTTGAAAATACAAAATGTTTATATATCAAGAGAGACTGTCATAATATTTTATTTAATGTTGTTAATCAATAAAGTACTCGTAATATTCACTTTTGATGAATATGTATGGCTTACTTAAAAAAAGGATTATATACAGTTTTAACAAGAGAGAACGCTACAGTCGAGCAAGCCCGACAGTGTAATACCCTGTACCCAGGTAAACTTCCGTCACTGAGTTATATGCGCCCATAGCGGCAGCAAAAAGAGGAAGAAGAAGAGCGAACTTGTTGCTGCAGTTTGGGGGGGTTGTACTGGCGAGAATTTGTTTCGCTAATAACTTTTCTTAGAATTGACCGAATTTAATCAAATTTTGAACAACAGTAGACAATTATATATAAATTATGTGTGCAAAGTTTGGTTTAGGTAGCATTTGAAATGTGGACGCTATTGACGAAATTCTGCAGCGGGGGAAGGGGGGGAAAATTAAAAAAAAAAAAATAAACTCGTCCTTACTCGGACCTAGGAGAATCTGGATGCCAACTTTGGTTATTCTAGCTTATATAGTTTCTGAGATCCTCGCGTTCATCCAGACGGACGGACAGACGGACAGACGGACAGACGGACGGACATGTCTAGATCGATTTCTCTCGTCATGCTGATCAAGAATATATATACTTTATGGGGTCGGAGATGCTTCCTTCTGTATGTTACATACTTTGCACAAACCTAATATACCCTTTTTACCCTACGGGTACAGGGTATAAAAACAACGACGCGTTTCAGCTACGCCTTTTAAACATATTAAGTGTGATATTATATATGAAAATATGAAGATCAAATGCTTAAAAATCTAAAATTTATATTACACACTATTACACACTTTAATGAAAATATCCAATAATTTATAATACAAATACACAAAGAAATGTGACCGCCCAACAAAACATGAATAATGTTCGATGTTTGTACAAACGATGGATCGACGATGTAAAAAACCATCGGCAAATATCGATGTATCGTGGGGAAAACATCGTCGATGCTCGAGACATCGATGTTTTTTTAAATCCCTAGCCTGGCCCCTACTATACTGATGAAATCCCACGGCAGCCAGCTAACTTACTTTAATAAGATTCTAATTGTTAGCATTTATATTTTTTGGTACACTTGTTAAGTTTGGCTTCCGTGTAATAGTTAGTTAGCATATTAAAAAAAACACTTGTTTTAAAGTTTTAAAGCAAAAATAATCTTGTCCTCCTTGTCATACTTTATCGAAAACTTCAGCAGTCATAGCACTGGAGAATGTTTAATGATATTCAATAAATAAATTGGATAAGCTCCCTTAGGTCTACGCCAGTCCTCCCTTGAGGATAGAAAACTCAGAACTCAACTCATACTGTCCCTGCGGACGATAAGTTGGATTTCTTCTTCGTGAGAATAAAGCTATAATATCGGCTTATATAGTATACTATACATACATAAATAGAAGTACATATATATGTATGTTCGAGTCATTGTTGTTGCCTTTGCTTGGCACTTTTATAGTCAAGTTTTGAGCCTAACTTGGCGCTCGATAATAATTTCATAATTATAGGTTATCTGGCAGTTGAATTCGTAAATAAAAAACAAAACGACAGCGAGCGGCAAATAAAGAAACCAAAACAAGAGCAACGCTTAAGACTTTATCACTGGATTTGTTGCTGCCTTAGTTTTTGCACCGCCGCGTCGTCGAGATTGATTGTCGCTAATGGGCGTGATGTGGCAGCGGTTCCAGTGAAATTTCCTGCCCGCCAGAAACTTGGCCAGGCGGTCGGCCACTCCGCGACACAGCTAATTGTTTAATTGCAATGGAGCAGAGAGTGCTCGACACGCCAGCAGTAGATCACGCGGCATTAGTGATCAGCGCCCAGTTACAGAGGAAGTGGCCAAACGCTGAACTGAAGACAAGGCAGTAAAATGAGCGCCCAATCGCCCGCACTTCGTCCATAATTATTTTCGACCTTGACCAATAGCTGCAGGCCTTGCGTCGGTAACTGTATTTATTTCATTTTATAATTTTTCTAAGACCATATACAAATTTATTACATACGTATGCGATTTAGTCACATGCAATGATTTTCCTTGGTCCTTTAATAAATTGAAATTAATTAATGTTGTTGATTTACTATATAGTACATATGTATAAGCATTTCGACAAATTACAAATGGTCTGCCAACAATTTCATGTAAGAAAATGTGCATAAAACGAAATACGCATGGCAGGCGCGAGAATTGATTTACAGTTATGATTTTTGATTCCTTTCCTTCACATTTACATTCTTATAGAAAGCATTCTGCTTGCAGCTGCAATGCAACGCTTAGTTTTTCTCGACCTGTTGAACGCGTCGCGCCATTTCTATTTGGAGTTGCCGAAAACTCCGAGAAAATGTTTAATTAATAGCTTAAACATTAAAAAATTATGTAAAAGCAAGTGTACATATTAAGTTGTGTGTGAAGTGTTCTTAATATGTGTTTATTAATAAGAGAAAATGAGCACGACAAAAAACTACGCATGGCAGGCGCGAGAGTTGATTTACAGTTATGATTTTTGATTCCTTTCCTTCACATTTACATTCTTATAGAAAGCATTCTGCTAGCAGCTGCAACGCAAGGCTTAGTTTTTCTCGACCTGTTGAACGCGTCGCGCCATTTCTATTTGGATTTGCCGAAAACTCCGAGAAAATGTTTAATTAATAGCTTAAACATTAAAAAAATTATGTAAAAGCAAGTGTACATATTAAGTTGTGTGTGAAGTGTGCAAAATATGTGTTTATTAAATGCCGAAAATGCCGCGCGATTAATGTGCTGCATACATACATACTGATGTGTGTATGTGTGTGTTCGTGAAATAAATTTCGCAGTGCTTCAATTTTTGTTTCTATTTTTTTTAAGTGTTTGTAAATGTGATCTAAATAAGTAAAAGTGTTCAATTTGAAAATAATATTTAATTAAATCAATCGCAATTAATCTCTAGGTATATGTAAGTACGCAGCGATTTTTATTAATTAATTTTTTTTTTCATGTATGCATGTGTGTATGAGGCCTTTATTTTAGCAGACAAAATGTCACCATAACATAACAGATACACAAAAAAAAGAAAGAAAAAAACTCAATTAACAGAGTTTGCCGAATGTGTTGTATAACAGATTGTTAACTTGCCTGCATTTGAGCATTGAGTCTGTTGTATGAAGACATAGACATACCAACAAGTTGCGGTTGGGGTGGTCGGGCGCCCCAACTTGTCGCAAAGGAGCAAGAGAGCGCAGTTAGATCAATCAAAAGCAAGAGAGCGTACGAATTCTCTTAAAAAATGGTAGTTATTGAAGTAAGCATGGGAGACAGAGACGAATCGTTCGTCCGTTTTTTGCACAATTAAAGAAATTACGATTAATAGTTACAGTAGTCGTAAATCCAATATCGCCAGCAGCTCTCTCTGTACTGACAGATACACACAAATTTTTGGACTTTATTCATTTTATTTTTGTACAAGAAATTGGAAAACTGAGATTCCAGCAAACAGCCTTTGACATCAATATTCTCCACCAAGGGATTGAAATTTGCAAAGCAACTTCTTGGACTGAGTTTTTAAAACTGAATAGCACTTGTCTGCATTCAGTGCCTGCGTGAATTAGGGAATTGTTATTAGTCGATAAATATCTATGTGGATATTTTTAACAAATTGTTTAGTTAGAGCCACAAAAATTTCGATCAAATTCCTTGCTCTGTTGTTAGATCGTTGCCGCCATTTATTGCCTTTTTAGCTCGTGCTCGATGTGTGCCAGCAGCAGTTCATAAATAAGCGAGAAAGGACGCCTCCTTACCGAACTTTAGGCGGCAAACGGTGCTGAGCTGTCGGCGGCACCTTGACGCCGTGATTCTAGAGATGATGAATAGCGTTCACTTTTGATGTATCGGCCCCACTTTCAGCTTCAATTTAATGCTGCACGTTCATGGGGCTGCTTAATTGCCTCTGAAGCTTCAATGTTGCCATCGCATTATGTCCATTTCCGTTAGGGCCGCCGGGCGATTGTTGTTTTAGTTGTTGCAGTAGTCGAGGTTTTCAACTTTCGCAATGATCTTTTTCTCTTGATTTTTATTTTACTAGCATTTTGGAGCTGGCATTTGATATAAACGTATTCGCATTGGACAAACTGTGTGTGTGTTTTTTTTTTTAATTTGCTTTTTTTCTGTTTGGGGCTTTAAGGCTTCGGGCTACTACAAGCGAGCCACATCCTGTATGGCGTCGGCCGGCGCGTCCTTGGCCACACCACAACATAATTGGCGTCTGGAGGCGTGACGCTTGTGGCTTTTTCTGCAGACCTGTGTCTAACATGTGCCGGTCTTGTGTAGGCCAGAGGACGAGGTAGAGGCTTGTTCATTGTTACTTTGTGGGCATCAAATAAAAAAGGGAATGCGCTTGGGGCTGTTGCTGAGCTGCCACTACTGTACCTAGAGAACTAACGGTATTGCGAATATTTAATTGCATGTTGCGGTTTATGAATCATGGAATTTTTTTGTTCTGCCTCAAGGTTTTCAACGAATTTTCGGTCGTTTTGATAAGACGCAAATAATCCAAATTGGTTATAGTACGATTTCCCCAAGTGGCCAAGAGACCAATAATAGTTCGTATTTGAGAATGAAAGTGATTTTAAAAAATTGAGTTTGGTGTTTTATAGTAAAGGAATTCTCTTTTAGTTTCATTTGTTTTAGTTTTATTTTTTGCACTCAAAGGCTTCTTTAAGGATTAAACACTAATAGAAAAATAATATTTACTATAAAAAGAGTAGACTATCCATCAGTGGAGGCATAGTAAGCGGTTTTATACCTTGGGTATCTGTAAAGGAAATGCTTACAGTTGCTGTCGTTTTAGCCAAGAGTCGGCCGGCTTTAAGCAAAAATGCTCTTTAATAACTACGAAATTAGCGTCTCGGCGCAATGTAGAATCCAGTATGTTTTATTAACATTAATGCGTCAGATTTATTGTAAATGTCTTGAATCCGTTGTGGATCGACTTTGCACGATTCTCCAAATTTTGAATCGATCTGCCCATGAGTGGGAAAAGCTCATGTTATCAGTATAGGGGCACAACTAACATGAGATACTAATTTCGCCCGAAATTCGTAAAAATGTGAATTATTTTTCTGCGGTTTTTCCGATTAATTATGATATAGCTAGTAGGTTTTTCCAAAAATCGCTAAAGTAGGAAATCTTTACAGCAATAAGCAGAGCTGTGTGTTTATTAAACTATGAGCTACTTTATAGAAGGGGGCTCTATGGACTCTAGAATATAAACTTCTCACTCACATCTTTTTAAATGGATATGCGAGAATGGAGAATAAAAATTATATAGCAACAAAACAAAACATCTTATGTATCTGTTTCTTTGTACATTGCACTCAACACTAGATGAAATGTGGATCTTAGCAAATGTATTAAAATATTAAACAAATAGTTTATAAAACGGATACAAATAGGGTCAGTAAAGAGCCTGTAAAGCGTAGAATCTATAAAATAAATATAATAAATTAATTAAAGCAAGAGAACTGCACTATATAATTAATAACTCACCGACGTCAGGGTCTCTAGAGAGGGCGAGAAAAAGGGTATTTGGATTTGAAGCTGTCGCTGAGCTCTCAAAATGATCAACAGCGTCATTTTCTGAACGCGGATACTATGTGCATACCAAGCACTATCGAACACATCTCGCGCCAATTCCGAACACTAAAATAAAACGGATTTTTTATTAGAGGAAGTAAGTACTTCTACACGTAACGCACCCCTTCCACGAAGAAGTTGCCGCCTAGACAATATAAAAAGATTTCTGCGCTCACGCAAATACAATACACGACATAGGCTAACGTCCCAACTAACGTCCCAGAGAACTGCGAAGTATAGATATTATGGTGGAGATATTATGGTGAACTGATTTTTTGGAAGGTACCAGCAATATCCCCAAGACACTTGCGCATATAATCAAGCTGGAGGTGACAAAGTGTCCCAAGGTAATCACAGCTAGGACGCGAGATAAAAGTGCCGTCAATTCTGCCAACTCGTTGTGCCGATCTATAAGCTGTTCCAGCTTCCTGACAACTTGTAACTCCTCCTGTAGAGTAGGTGGCGAGTCACTTTTCACGGCTAGTGTTTCACACACATCGTCGCGCAGCGATTTAATCAACACGCTTAAATAGATGCAGAAGCCCACAAATAAACCATCAGCACCCGCAAAACAACATACAGTAATGTTACCGTGCCATTGAACAAGGGTATAGGAAATGGGGTAGAGGGGGAGACGCAACATCGGTGCAGGTAGCCTGAAAAAAAGATAGGGTTACAGATATTTTGACCAATTGTCGTAGTCATACCTCATTAAGAAGGGCGTCTCATATATCCAGTCCAAGTCGTTTTGAAGCCGGTGCAAATTAACCCAAAGATTCCGTATCGAATATGACATACTAGTCCAGAATCCAAAGAAAAACACTATTGAGGCGAGCTGTGTGGCCAACGTGTAGTATTTCTTCTTATACTGAAGCTTTTTGGGCGATCCTTCCTGCTCACTGAGATGGCGAATGCGCTGAATTAGAAACTTGAAGTCGTCCATATACCACCAAAGGCAAACCATCTTCAAAAGCGACACAATACTCGAAGCAACCGGACACAGTGCGTCCAATGCAGTTGCAACATCTATCGACAAATAATGGATGCCGTAACTGGCCTCAGCATAGCAGCCATAGGCCAGAACGAAAAAATTGAAAAAGCTCCACAGACGAACAGACCAAGTTCGTTCGGTCTCCGGATAGAACCCGATCCACTTCCAGGAAAATTTGGGCACCAAAAAGTAATGCCGATCCACTGGATACGAGGAGGTTAAAAAGCTCAGCAACATGGTCAAGCTACGGTTGATGTTTTGTAGTAAGGCCCTACTTCCGTTTACGGCTTTTATAGGCCTACATTATTTGCAAAGTCAATGAGCAGCTGCAGCGAGTCACAAATATTGACAAATTACCAACAATTTTGCTAAATAATTAAATAAAATGGGCGAGGTATTTCTCTAGTTATTTCGGTATTCAGCTATACATATATTATTAAGTCTCCGATATATGGTTAAGTATAGTATTCGTTTCAATGCTCATTTTAGGCTCCAATACAATAATCAATAGGTGTGAGCTTAGCTGCGTTGTTTTGAGAGGAATGCACTGAAAATTGAAAGGGTATATTCCACTTTTCAGAGCTAACGACTTTAAACTTTAGTCATTCTTCTTATTCTCTGTTTAAAGACTAATTAATAGTAGTACGGACACAGTTAGGTTTATACTAAATAGATGAGTATAATATTTGTATGGCACAGTGAAGAAGTGCAAAAGAGACAACATCTTAACATTTAAGTTCTATTTCGAACAGTATGCGGAAATGTTCTTAAAGGCAAGGTCCTTAAAAAAGGAAAGTTTTTCATTAAATATCGTATGTTGCTGCTGTTTAGAAACAAAGATAAAGAAATAAATTGCACATCTACATATGTATATGCGGCAGTCTGTTTCAATCACAACATTTTAAATAAAAACACAGGCATAATAATCGGATGAAATACCACCCTAAGTTTTGTTGCAATGAAATTTTATTCAGTAATAACTGTATAGCATGTTCTAATAGGCTTAACCATTTAGCAGAGTTGAACCGTATTATACCTGCATTTAGATGTAATAACTAATACGAGCGTAGAAGATTATAAGTAGCTTTGAATTAAGATTTAAAATATTATGTTATAAAACAAGATAGAACGCTACAGTCGAGCAAGCCCGACAGTAAAATAGCCTGTACTCTCCACAAAAAGGAAAAATTAAAAAAAAAAAAAATAAATTAAAAAAAAATTAAATTATTAAAAAAATGAATGAATTAATTAATTAAAATTAATTAATTAAATTAGAATACATGTTTAAGTTCAGTTTTAACAGTATACATTTACATCACGTACCTATGCGTGTTGATGATGAAACTTGGCATACGGACTCATAGTCATTAACTGGAGGTATTTGCCAAATCTGAGTACAAAATTCTACAAATTACGGGAGTTATGAAAAAAAAACACGAATTGCGGGGGAGTGGGGGGGTGTATCAGAAAAAATAAACAAACTCGATCTGCCTAGGGCTTATAGGAACCTTGATACCAATTTTGGTTATCCTACCTCTTGTACTTACTGAGATCCTTGCGCTCATATAGACAGACGGACAGACAGACAGACGGACATATATCGACTCGTCTTGTCATCCTGATCAAAAATATATGTACTTTGTGGGGTATGCCACGCCTCTTTCTGCCTGTTACATACATTCGCACAAAACTAGTATAGCCTTTCACCCTTTGGGTACAGGCTATAAAAATAGCTACTATACGTCATCATTTTTTTACTGGCTAAGGGAACTTTCTTTGAAATATTTGTATGTACATGTGTGTACTTATGTACAATAAGAATTCATGTCACTAGTGTATGAATCTATTGAGTCTGAAGGGCAGTTTTCAACATAGTGGATTACAAGAATTAAAATTTGTAAATATCAACATTGACCTTATATTTATAGTACAAGAAAGTTTATGTACAAAAAATTTGTGATAAACTGCAGCTTTGAAATGGAACATCCAACATCAATTAATGACTTGGAACTGGAAGACCTTTTTTATCTGGATCTGGGTGCTTAAATGAATTTATTTCTTATAGTTTTAGATTAGAGACATTTATTTTAGGATAGAGACATTACATTTCGAATATATAAGAAAAGAAAATGCATATTTTCAACATAACGAATAGCTTGTGACAGTTTATACTAAGTTTTCTTGATATGTGAAATAAACATTTGTGATATATTGCCGCTTATTATGGAACATCCATGTTAGAAGTAGAAGATAATCCCCAGTTGGCAACGGTAGTGGAATGTTCTCAGGGTCGACGTTAAAGTCCTTAAGTAATATATCACCCTAAGTAATAATTAATATGTATTGTGAAGGATTATATAATATGATTACTATGTACTTACAGAATAGGGGCAAGTGTGGTTGACGTTTGAAAAGTTTCTTATAAGATCAAAACCTAGTTTGATAGCTGGATGGTTTCTCCGCTGAAAGAATTGACAAACATCGACAGTATAGTCAAAAAGCCATGGTTTATAGCCATTTGCTTTCTTTTGCACTGTTGCTCTTAATTGCATATTGTTAGTTGGATGAAGATAAGTTATATTTAAATTGAGAACAACTTTACCGCGGCTTATAGCTTTAAGACGGCAATTATTAATCGACACCGAGGATGTATTAAAGGACTCACACACGAAATTTGTCATTTTAAAGAAGGCTGCCTCCTGTAAATTAAAGCACATTGATTACTCCCGTGTTATACAAGTGTAAATTGTAATTAAATCAGTACAAGTTGAACCAGCAATAGCAGACATCCACAAAACGTTATAAATTTCCTCATTGTTGTACTTCAATTGGGAGCGGGTTTATTGTGCTAAATGTTTTATAAAACTCATGAATAGATTTCAGCCAGTCTAAACGATTTATGCATTAGTGCTAAGCGAGTTAAATGCAAAGTCGCACGGGGCCGACTGCTATATTCCCTGCACTCAGTTTGAAAAAACTTGTTGTACCCTCTATCCGAGAAAGTACCCTCTATCTTAGAAAGTATAAAATCAAAAAGTATGTCAAAATCAGAAGGAGCAGACATGTTAAAAATACAATATGTATAAAGTCGGCATAACTGGAAGAGTCAATATAGATATGTCCGACTGTCTACCTGTCCGTCTGGTGTTATATACACCTTTGTATTCCATACGTAAAGCATTCTTATTATAATGCTGTCATAAAATCGCTCGCTGGGAAAATAACTCATGGAATTAAAACTATTTTATGAGCACCTCATAATATTTATTACCATGTGATACGACAAATCGGAATTTAATTGAAAAGCAAATGTTTTGCTGCCACAATTGCATTTTGGAAACCAAACTGATTACTCCTGTTGAATTAAATTCTAATGATAATTAGTTTTGCCAGTAATAACACAAAATATTAGCAGCAATAACAGAAAAAAGATACAAATCAATAGAAATGTTCGCAATGTTGTTCTTTTGCGGATATAAGCATAAATATTTCAATGCACAATCTGAAATCCACAAGTTGAAATGATTAGCTCTAAAATATTTGTATGCGCAATGAATTGAAATCGTGTATAGACTGTGAACATATTTGGTATAAAAAGTTCTTTCAAAACAATATTCTCCTCAAGATAAATTAAACCACTGCATCTTATAATTTTAAAAGTTTTTAAATTCAAAAAATTAAATGAAATAATTTATGTTGCTTACAGACTAGGAAATTCTTTATACAAAGTATTCTCTACCGTTTCCGAAATCCGTGTCTACTGCCTTTTTATCTTCCAAACATATGTAAATAATGAGGTTTATTTGTTTTATTTATTATTGTGGTTTATTTATTTTATCGACAAACAAAGCTGTCGCTGTGAAAAAAATCAAAACATAACAGAACTTTTACTAGATAAAACTAAAGAAAAACAAAGCCTATAGAAATAACAAGAATATCTAATAACGAATCCGACTCGGTGGGGGAATTTTATTTGCCAAACGGCCAGCTATGTCCCGATTCACAGCAGAGTGTAGTCAGAGACGTTATTAGACCTAACAAAAAATGAGAAAAATATTAATAAAACATAAAGGAAAAGTATGATTAAATTAAAATAACAAATTAAAATTGAAATACTTAAATAATAAAACAGAAAAATGGTAAACGTCCTTTTTATAATTCAACTCGGATGCTCCGATATTTATTTCATGGCAATAGTAGCAGTTAATAAAGAAGACCTTTGTTAAATGAATATTAGACTTAAACAGAATATAGAATAAAACACATCTACAATTTATTAAAGACTTTTTGAGTATATAAGTATATTGTAATTCGGAATGCCTTTGCAAAAGGGCGTTGTTGTATTTTCACCGCCAATGTATAATTAATACCATTAGATAGAAGCGTTAAAAATAGTGATTTAAGTATAACACAAAATATCTTTTTAAAATGAAGTCAGGCTCGAAAACAATAATAATTAATATGCTTGTGAATGCCTGAGTAATTGGCAATAACTTTAAATTGTTGGCCAACATTAGCGCTCAAAATTGAAAATCTAAACGAAATTCATCAATGAAGCACAGACAGAGACTATGCGATGTATACGAGTGTGTGGATATGTGTACATATACGAGTATATATAGTATATATGTAGTCTGCCTGACTAACTGACCCCTGAGCCGGCGAGTCCAGTTAGAAGTGCTCAATTAATTAAGCAAAAGCCGCACGGCGACAAAACAAGAGCCCCGGGCTGGCCGACGAACGTCACATGGGCCGCCATTATTACAGCTGGAAATGCCGAGGCAGCGCTGAATGAAAAACTTGGAGTAGAGTGGTTGTATGGCAATGCTAGTTCCGTCGGTCGGACGAGCCGTCGGCTTTTTTTGCGCTTGACAAATGATTGGCAACTGTGTGGCCAGTGCAGTGGCCGCGTCTCAGGCAGCAGAAGGCAAAAACTCATCAATTAAAAGTGCTAATGGCTATCATAATGATATGTTAATATCACTCGTAGCTATGGCTATTCTGCTTTTGCTCAGTTTTTTCATTTCGCGCTGAACTAACTGCGTTTTAGTTCAGTTAACCCGCCGAAAAAAAGGTAACACGAAAGCCAAAATGCTTTCGGTGCTGCTAGGAACAACAAGCGGAACTCTAATCATAAGAAGCCGCAAGAATGTTGCATGATTAATTATGCTTTGGCGACTTTTTGGCGGTTCTGCAAAAACCCGAGAAACCCTGAAACATTGAAAACATCTTGTGCT